CTTCCCGGCCCCAGACCCACAGACTCAATGTGAAATGTCCCGGTGTTATGGTTGATACACTGTGTCAACTTGGGGAGTCTAGAGGTTTGGCTAAGTGACTCAGCAGGGAGCCAGGGTGCTTACTTTGTAAACATCCTGAGACTGGGTACAGCTTTTTTTTTTTTTTTTTTTTTTTTTTTTTTTTTCTCCGGTACCGGGAACCGAACTCACGACCTTGCGCTTGCCAGGCAGGCGCTTTTGCCGCTGAGCTAAATCCCCAGCCCCTTATCGAGCTTGGGTACAGCTTTTTTTTTTTTTTTTGGTATCCTGAGACTGGGGAAGAGAAGGGCATGGAGATTATGTGAGAGCTACATGCCCCTTAGGTGGGGGTAGCCTGTTTACAATGTAAGGGAGGGAAAGAGGCAGCTTGCCCGTGACTCTTCCCTTTTGCTCTGGCTGTTTGCGTTCGGCTGCCATTCCCCCCGTTGCTCTTGTTGCTTTGTTATCTTCTGCCTCGGAGCCAGCCAAGTATGGACCGAAACCTCCACAAACCGTAAGCTAAATAAACCTTTCCTTACTTCATTTTGAACGTTGGGTATTTTGTCTCAGCAACAAGAGAAAGGTAACCAAGACACCCGGGCAGAGCTCCCTTGAAAAGGAAGAGAGTGAGTGGAAACTCTAGTAGGTGGCTGCCCGTGAAGAGCTCATCCTTGGGAAGAAACGGGAGGGATCTGAGGGTCCAGTCCTCATTAGAAGCTCGCAGTGACAGCAAGAGCTCCAGAAAGGTGTGCAGGGCATTGGGCCAAGGTCAGCCAGCAGCCTCCCCCGCTCCAAGCCGCTAAGACTAATGGCTTTTATCCCCAAAGATCTGGAAATTTTCCATTAAAAATTTTGCTTCAAACAATTAGCTGAACTGCTGAAAGTGACAGAGAAGGACCGAACCAGAACACTGAAGGAATCATTTATTTAAGTTGTTGAAATATATCATGTGTAGCGTTGTGGTCAATGATACTGTCACTTCGTCAGTGTCAGTATACGTGCTTTCAATAACCTGTGCTACTTCCGTCTTGATGTGGATGTTAGTTTCTAGGCACCTATGCAGAAGTACAACCTGGTCATGAAACCCTATTTCTGGACAACCAGGGATCTACGCTCTGCATAATCTGCCAGTACCTGTGGATGATTTTTGATTTTTTCCCATGTGCTTATACCCTCGAGTTCAAAATCTAGCTGAGATTCCCTTTGTGTACCTGAATCATAGATGGTGAAAACTAAAATGAGTTATGCTCAGCCCCTAAACAGAGAACTTCACTTGTAAACCTTTTTAAAATGAATTTTCCTCCAGTTTGTATTACCAGGGAAAAGTGTTGCCTTGGTATCAAATATTCCCTCCCTTCCATTCCTTTTCTTATATATCCACATTCATTCTTTTCAAATCCCCTCACCTCCAGCCTGAACTACTGTTCAGGATATTTCTTTACTTGTTTAATTTTTTTGAAATAGTGTCTCACTCTGTTAACCCAGGCTGGTTTCAAACTCACAACCCTCCTGCCTCAGCTCCCAAGTGCTGGGATTACACAAAACCATCACCATGCTCAGAATTGTTTATATTGCTACAAATTATAAGTACTGGATTCTTACAGGTCAAAAAATAAGAAATTGGATTTTCTTCCTGAAAATCTCAGAAATAAAAGAATGAGCACTTGTGCATATTCTAGTTTTTTTCCAAGTACAGAATGTAAATGATAGTTTTAAATGAAAATCACTTTGCACTAAAAGATACAGAGAACATATAGCATTGTTCTGCCTGTTATAGAGTGGGTTGGAGTTATGTTTTAGCCTAAGGAAGAAATTTATGTGTGGCCTAAACCTAAAATGGTATCTATGGCATCTACCTACACTTAAATCTATTTATAATTTCCTAATAAAAAAGTGTGTTTCTTGAACATCTGAAGTTTCTAGGCTTTTTTTTTTCTATTATCAACCTCTATAAAATCTAGAAATCCTGATTTTACTACAGAAGTCAAATCAGTCAACAAGAAATAATCTCAGTGAAGGTAAAATGAGCTTTTAGTGGTTTATGATTCATTTTCAATGGTCCCTGACATATACGGTCATGGCTGAATAAACATACAAATAAATAACTTGTCAGGTTAAAAAAATAATTCAGTGTTCAGATGCCAGATAGGAAACATGGATTATTTTGTGGAGTGACATTAATAGGAATAAGACTTACACAGTACAGTTATTCTCAGTACTTTACAATTGCTTTCCATGAGCAGGAATTGTATTTATTATCACAAAATAATACAATATTCTAACTTGGAAGTGATAGCAGCTTGGTATTCTGAATGCCATTCTAAATTAGAAGTGTGGAATTGTGATATTTTTAAGTGTGTCACCAATAAAAATGGACAAAGGCTAAAAACATCAAAGCTTAATACTTTCATTCACATAAACATTAGCTTAATCAATTACTCATGTATTTAGTATACTTTTAAATTTATTATATTTGCTTAATCACATATTCATGTTTATTAGGGCACAATCATTGATCTATTTGTTTATAAAACAGGTATTTATCAAGAGCCTACTATATGATGGTCATTGATTTAATGCTTGGAATATAATAAAGAACAGTAACAAAATGTCCTGGCTTCCTTCTCCAAGATACTTCAGTGGTTGAAAGTCAATAACCAGGACAAATAAGTAAAATACAAATGTTAGACAGCAAGTGTTTCTTATAAAGGTAGAAAATAAAAGTGATAAAAATCGGGAGTATGATGAAATTTTAGACTCTAAAAGACTTTACTGAAAAGCAAAGAAAACAAAATGAGGGGAAAAAAAATCTTTAGTTGACAACCATGTCCACTCTGCCATTAGTGGTCGCCAAGGAGCAGGAACCAGGCTGTGAATGAGTGCTACCATGTACCTGAAATAGTAGCACAAGGGATTTCCTTTGTAGTGATGGAATGGTTCTGTATCTTGCTTGTGGTGGGCACTTTGGGAATCTATATGTGGGATCACGGGCTATACAACTATACACATGTATGTACAATTCAGCTAACTAAAACACTCCAACCACCAGGGCAGAACCATCTGTAATCTTTCTCTACTGTTTTCTTTCACTTCACATTCAAAAATAACTAACACCCTTAATTTGGAGCTTATCACTTCTATATATTACACTTTTTCTGCATTTGATGATATCCCTAAATTCTGGATAAATTCAAACTGCCTGCAGCCTTCTGAAACTTGTCTTTACTCAATGTTACGTACTTTTAAATGTATCCCTAGTGATACAAATATTTCTGACCTACAGTTTTAAAATGTTATATAAACTTAAAGACCATCCATCATTTTTTTTAATGGTCATTAACTGTTTCTCATATACAAAAATGTATCTGCCTTTTTAAAAACTTAATTTTGTATCAAAATATTGTTGGCTATTTGTGTTATTTTATGCCTCTGGCTAGAACTTACTTTGGAAAGAAACAGAGATTCCTACAACATTGGAAAGCAACGGAGATTCCAAACATATATTTTGTTCTTATTGTTAAAAAACTGCTTTCAATATTTCATCATGTGGCTATAAAGGATATTTACTAATTACATCAGGTTATGGAAGTATTGTTCTATTACTGACTTGAGATGTTTTTATCATGTGTATGTTGAGTTTTATTAAATCTTTCTGCATCTATTAAAAGGATATTATTCCGCATTAAAATAATGAATCACATTATCTCTCCTGACCCTAACTTATCTTCATGCTCCGAGTACAAATATAACTTGGTTGTTTAGTTTTGTTAATATATTCCTATATTCATTTCTAGGATTTTTGAATCTAAGTGGATATTATTGTTCTTGTCTGACTTTGATATAAAAGTTATGCTACCTACATAGCTACATAGCTACCTACATACCTTGGAAACAGGCCTCTTTTTCAAATATCTGGAGCACTTTGTATAGAATTGAAGGAATTTGTTTTTTGATGTTGAGAAAAGCTCCTCAGTAATATTATCTGGACATCTTTCTTAAATGAACTTTTTTATTGCAGTAATTGTAGGTCCATATATAAAGGTGAGCTATAATACAGAAGGCCCGTGTACCCCCACCCTAGCACCGGGGATTGACCTCAAAACCTTCACACTGAGCTACATCTCCAGCCCTTATTTATTTTGAGACAGGGCTTAAACTTGGGACCCTTCTGAGTGCTAGGGTTATAGGTGCAAGTACCACCACACTGGGCCCCCATGTGCTATTTAATCAGATTGTCCACTAGTGACACCTTGAAAAACTACTATAATATCCTAAGTATGACATGGCCACAAACATAATCTTTCAAATTTTCCTTTGTATTTTGTTCCAAACATCTAACCATTTGTGCATTTGTGTATCTGGCACCACAGTCAAGTCACAGAACAGTCCCACAACCACAAGGATCTTCTCTAACCACACACAGGGTGAGCAGCTTCTTCTTCACATGTATTTCCCTAATAGTTAACAGCCTGGATTATATTCTCTATTTGTATTCGTGTCCATTTTGGCAAAGCTCATTTTTTCTAGGAAACATTTGTCAAGTATTTGAAATTAGTGCAAAGTTTTTAATAGCTTCCTCTCATTTTTAAAATCTCTTCTCTTTTGGTTCTAATGATGTTTTCAGTACCTAGTCTTTTTATCATATATACATCTATCAACAGAAGTTTAATATTTTTCTTTTAAAAGAATCGATTCCATCTTCTAGAAAAATATATTTTCAGGGAGTGAACCTGAAAATCCTTAGTGCCAAGTTGTATTCTTTCATAAAATATTATGAAACTACCAAAATAACTAATTCTCTATTATATTATTAACTCAACGTTTTCTATTTTTTTCTTTTCCTTCCTTCTACTTATATTTTTCTTCTAACTTTTTGAGTCCAATATGTGACTAATTAATATTCAGTCTTTCTTGTTTTCTACCTATTCATGAAAAAAAATTCTAAATAATTCTTGGACAAATTTTATTCAGACTAAAATGCAGAATTTTCATTGTTGTTTAATTGCAAATATTTTCTAAATTCCAATATGAGTTCACCTTTGACCAATGAGTTGAAAAGGTAGTTAAACATGAGCTTTATTATTGTGTTTGGGTTACTTTTTTATAAATGCATTTTAGTAATAAAACAGTCTGAATGATACATCTCCAACCCGTTTTGTTTGAGACAAGTTCTTGCTAAACTGGCCAGGCCAGGCTCCAATCTGTGATCCTCCTGCCTCAGCCTCCCAGAGTGTTAGTGGTACAAGCATGCACCACTAATCAGCCCACAGACAAAACTAACCCCGTGGCTGCCCTAGGGCCCATTCGCCTCCTGTTGTCCCCTGCCATGCAGACAGGCAATGGTTACTCAGTGCCTTGTACTGCAGCATGTGACCAGGACTTTCTGGCTTACTGATCTCTAACAAAAATCACTGCAGTTCTCAAACAGCAAAACAAAGGAAACTGTGGTTCATTCATTCACATGACTATTGCATTAACTCCTCAGTCCACACCCATGAGTAGAAGAAGCAGAAAGACAATGACTCCAATTTACAGAAAACGAACCTGAGATCCACGGCAGGCAAGGGGCTGCTTCCAAAGTGACAGCGGGTGACAGAGTGCCAGTCAGCTCCGCCTGCAGCTTGGCCTCCCTCCCCCAAGACAACAGGGGGGTCCCAGGCTGCAGCCCACATTCTCTCCTATACAATGCTTTTTATCTTCATACAAAATCTTTAACCACAAAATTAGAGGAACTGTAACCAAACAAAAAAACCCATTTACACTTTAAACTGTAGAAAAATTATATGTATAGATCATTTTCTCCTTATATTTATTCATTCAAAATTTTACTGATTTTATCGTATTCAAATGTTGTGTTGGTTTTATTTATGGTAAAATGATTGAGGTATTTTAGCATCTTGTTTTCATATCAAATGAAGCCTGGGATGTGACCACTGTAAGATTTATACAGAGAAGGTGTTGCCTGATTATATTATACACGTAAATTAAATGAACCACTCTCCCCCACTGTTCTGTAGTGTACTATACACAGCGCTGATATCCAGTCAGCACATCTTCAATTAGAAAGTTTTGGTGAAACTTACTGTGAGTAAATAATGCTCTACTGCAAGTTTATATTGACTAAAACATGATCATGAAAATGAGTTGGTCACTAATAAGCAATCTGCAAATGGTGTTCAGGGTCAAGCCCAATGTTCAGATGAACTAACCCCAAATCAATAAAAGGCACTTTTAAGGTGAGAAAATAATTTGAGTGATCCAAACACAAATATATTTTTGTTCCTGAGATTAAGTACATGGACATCCATATTAGGCCTGTTTGGAATCTAACAATCTTAGGTTAGGATCATAGAAGTGGCACAGGGAGAAGAAAAGAAAGCAAAAGACCTAAGGAAGAAAGTTGTCCACAAGGCAAGGAATGAAGCTAGGACTGTCACTCAGGAAATGGACATCCCCCCTCCTGCGAGGGCCAGGCCAGTGGGAGATCCACGGTGTACCTCTGTCACAATATTCGTTTGTCCTTTTTCACATGGAGTCTAGCTTGGGCTCCAGTTGACAGAACAATGTAAACAGATGATCTCTTGAATGGCTCTGGTCCTTTTGGTATGACATGCATTCAGGAGAATAGCTAATTGATATTTTCACCTCTCTTCTTCTCCCCTGCACATACCCCTGCACAAATGAACAGTCTTGGAGATAATACTGAAGGAGAGCAAAAGAGATCAATGCAAATGTCACATGTCCTAGAATGTCCAAAAGGGACTTGATAGTCCTGAGAGTGCCACCTCAGTCCCGGTGATTTGAGTTTTGAATGGTGAACCTAACATGCTTCTCCAGTTCCAGTAAGTTTTGGTAAAATTTTTCAGCAGTGTCTTCATCTACATCCAGCTGAAAAAGAAGCAAAAGTAGGGATGACTAGAAAGGAAAACCAAAGCAAACAGCATATGTATAAAAGGAAGGCATTCTACACATTTTAGAGAACTGAAAACAAATAGGCCGACAGAAAAGGTCTGTGGTGGCTGCCATATGGGGACTGTCAGGAAATGCCGAGGACCCTGAAGACTTACTAATTCCTAGGCAAACTCTAGCGCTCACCAAACCTACTTTTCCCTTAAACAGTAAGACTGAAAGATCTGAGTGTTGCTATCTACCCTGACTCCTATGAACCCAGAAACAGCAGACACTGAGTAACTGTGAAAGAAAAGTCCAAAAGAGGTAAGTTCACAGTCTTTTGAATTTCCAGTAGCTAATCACTTCCTACACTCCATCACATCTAGACAAAGCGAGCTGGTGAGATGGGCTCACTGTCCTCCAGAAAAGAATATGTATCTCCTAGCCTCCCTGGAGGCTGTGGGTGGCATGTGATACTATTCCAGCCAATGAGACCTAAGTGCAACATGGAACCTGGTTTAAAAAAAAAAAAAAACAGAGCATCCTTTCTTTTCTCTCTTCTTTCATACTGCTGTCTTGAGTCAGAAGCATGAGGGTGTCACTCTGAGGACAGCAGAGCAGTGACTATGAAAGACCAGATGCTTGGTACTTTTGGAGCTGCCATGGCAGACTGAGGCTGCCGCTCTCCAAACTGCTTTTACATGCAAGAAAGGTAAGATCACACCTTGTGTGATCACTGTTCTTTTACCTTCTTATCAAATTTTAAAATCTCAGTTTAACCAGTACTCTAAATAAAAGCCAACTTTCAGCCCCTATAAAACAATATTATCTTGTTTTCAAGTCAACAGGGCTAAACATCAAATGCAGGCTCACTCCTTACAAAAACGAAAGGTTAACAATTAAAAAACCTTTTTAACATTTTGGAAATAATGTCTGTAGTCATTCAGTCACATTAGAGGTTTTTTTTTCCCATAATGGAATTGGAAAACTTAGAGATCTTTGCAGCTCAACAGCATCTTTTAACAGAGAAGAGGGGTAACTTCCCCAAATTAATTAAAAGTTAAAACAGTTCCCTCAATGCATTTTCATAGAATGCTAATAAAATATTTGCTTTGTAGAACTGAACATTCTTCTCCACTTGATAAGCAAATCATTCCCTTTAGGATACTAGATGGGTAAATTCAAATAAGCCCTGAAAGCCTAAACTTAAGTGTATTGATTTACAACAGAGTCTTCCAAAATGTGTTCTTTGGGGTGTTAAGGGTTATGTTAAATTTGAAGAAAAGTTAAGAACTTTTCTTCAAGAACAGTTTGGAAAGACCAAGATTAAACATGTCACATCATACACGCACAGACACACATGTGCACACACACATTTAGTAACTGTTTCAACCTCTCAAAGCTTTTACTGAGCTAATGTACTTCACATAAATCTCTTAGAAAAGGGAATATAATAGGAAACATTCCTCAGATTTATATGCCTGGGGACTGCTGCTTGCAAATGTTCTCAAGGAACTAGTACCTCGCAGAACACACACCTTGAAAATCATGGACGCTTGATTCATTGTTAGGAACAGCTTGAGAAGCAGTGAACATGGCTCTCCTTAGACCGCATGAACTGCCAAGCATGACTTGCCTGACATGACTTACTTGCTTCAATCTAGTTTTATTTCAGGACAATGCCTCCTTACAAGAAGCTAAGCAGAGAAAAATGAGAGACTGAAAAAAAAATAAAAATGAAAAATAAACGTTCTCATTCCTCACTACATAACTCCATGTGTGACCTCTTTTCAGGAGACTGAGTCCAAAAAACACAGTATTGATTTTCATTTTTCCCTGCATCTTCAAAACATCAATCTATTAAAGCTAGTCACTGTCACAAACAAAATCAAATACAAAAGGGGAGTTAACTTCACATAGAAAGAGACTTCATCCAACCTGCAACATACTTAACCCTGCATTAGGAAATGGGGAAGGGGGAGGTTATCCTTCTCTTCCCCGGGCTTACAGGCCGAGGTGGAACCCAAGAGTGAGTGAGTGCTACAGACCACCAGTATAACAGAGCCCACCAGCAAGTGCCTGGCCTGGGCTAATGGGTCAAAAGCAGCTTAGGTGGAGGGAAGAAGATGTGCAAAGTTCAGTGGCAGAAGGGAGCAGAAACATAATGAAATGGAGCCACACTGATGCCAATGAACAGAGCAGAGACCCAGGGAAAAGAAGGTGGGGATGACAGGGCTGCTCAGGGGTGCGGGGACCCAGCCCATCAGCCTAGCAGCAAGCAGCTTCAGGGTAACAACGCGCACGGATTTACCTTTTGCATAGTGACATAGCTGTTTCCCAAGCCTGTGGTGGCACTCAGATATTTGGTCAGTGGATTGAGAGACTCGGGTTTTTGGTGGAAAAGCCATACCTGAAAAGCAACAGTGTGCCGGTGATTTGTTTCTTCGGCCAAAGGGGAGTAAGACAATTAGAGGTTTACACCCACTGTTTAGCTGTCTCCTCCTTTAATGCCCAAAGAGATTCCCTGGCATGGAGACTGGCTTATTTAATGTTGACTTCAGCTCATGCCACAGTAAAGTGTAGATCACTGATATAATATTTTATTAATACATTAGCACATAGACAAGATTCAAAAGATATACACGGAATTAGACATAAGCTTCCTCCCTTACCAACTTCCCAGCTCCCTGGTTATCTTCTCTGAAACCAACCACTCTTACTAAATCTTGTGTATTCTTCTAAAGAAAATCCATTCCCAGGAAAGCACAATAGCCTTTCCTTTTACTCAAACAAGTATAACACACAGAAATTTTCACTGGAACAATATACCCTGGAAATATTTTCAAATTAGCATACATAGAGCTGCTTTTATCCTTTTTTAAAAAATAGCACATTATACCATTTTAGGGATGTTCTATAATTTATATAATCAGTTTCTAATGAAGGGACATCCAGGGTGCTTTCAGTCTTTTCTATTAAAAACTACATTATAATGATGAGTACATGACTTCATGTAAGTGTTGAATATATTGGTAAGATAAATATCAAAGATGGAATGGCTTCGTTAAGGATATGTACATTTTGACTGATTTTTGCCAAAGAGTGACTCCTTGACAGAAGCTATATGATGAGGCATGAGCAAAAAATATAGCAAATGTTTAAATTAAAAATTGATTACAGTAGAAGGCACATTGCTGTTTATCTCCTTCGAAATATTCCCTCATTTTGAACACATTTACCCAATTACTCTTGTCAATTTCTGAAGCACTTTTGGAAGTCCTCTTTTGTGAGGACGCTTAGAATCAATTTAAAATGTTTACCCCTTCATGATCATTTTGACTTTGGGGAGGAGCCAGAAGTCACATGGTGCCAGATTCAGTGAATAAGGTGGATGAGGATACACTATGGGGTTGGGGAAATAGCTCAGTGGCACAAGCGCCTGCCTGGCAAGCGCAAGGTCCTGAGTTTGATTCCCAGTACAAGAAAAAAAGGATACACTATGATTTACCAGCCTGCCTTTTCCATTGGAGGGCACTGGGCAACATTCACTGCATTTGTAATCACATGTCATAAAGGCACTCATAAAGAGGACTCCCAGAGCTGCTTTAGAAAGTGGCAAGGGTGATAGGACAAGTGTGTACAAGGCGAGGGGGAGCATTTTGAGAGGGATTAATGGCAATGTGCTATTTACTGTGATAAAGTTCTATTTGAACATACAGTGTATGTTTTGATCTGACCCGTAGTTTACCCTGCCCTGGGAATGTAAAAGAGTCCTTATTTCTCTAAACTCTTGTCAGTATGGTACATTAGCAAACTTTCTGAGAGTTGTTAATTGGACTTAAAAATTAATTTTGCATTATACTTTTCATTGGCATGAGTGAAGGTGAGCATCTTTTCATACCATTAAACCAGTTTAGAAACTTTCTCTTCATGGCCTTTGGTCATTCCAATACCATATGATTTGCTGAACCTTTTCACATACTAACAAAATTAACCTTCTATCTATCATATGAATGCCAGATACTTTTCTTCCTTATGAGGTCTTTGGATTTTACTTATAGTGGAACTTTTGGTCAAACTTTTAAATTTTTATTTAGTCAATATTTTTAGTCTTTTCCTTTACAGTCTGAACAACAGATAAGCCTTCACACTCTGAAACTATTCATAATTTCTCCTAAAAATACTGTATTTTAATTTTTACATTTAACCTAATTATCTACAGCATGTAATTATGTAAGATATGAAAAAAAGATTCTATTCTACTTTCTGGTATCAACACTTGCTGAATAACCCATCTTTCACTCACTAATTTTGGAATGTCATCTTTTTTGTATATTAAATCTTTATACATTTGTAAGCCTATTTTAGGTTCCATTGGTTCATTAATATACACGTCTGAACTGTACTATTTTCATTAAAATATTTTTCTAACTACTCCCCACACTATTGACACTCAGTATCTACTTGACTTGATTTCCAGTACCATAGATACAGGGAATAAATAAGCCCTAAAAGACTACACATTAATGCTTCTAATTGATTGGCAATTAAATTAAGAATTAATTAAAACATAGTATAAAACTGTTGCTCCTACAACCAATTTATATCTCTATAATAAGTGCACTTGATTCTCCAGTGCTTACCAAAACAAGAGCATGGATCCAATTCCCTTTATGTTTTCCTCAGGTAATTTCAATTTGGTCAAGGTTTGAGAATCTACTAAGTGTAGACACTACAATTCTTAGGGTAAAGAGCAAAATCCCACAGGAGCTCAAGGAAGTCAGCACATAAGGAACTGATTCTAGTACCCTGGGCTTTCAACTAGATCATGTGAAGGACAGATGATAAGTTTCACCTTGCATGGCAATTCTGTTCTGCCAGTAGAGGCTGCCTGTAGGGTTCTGAGTGAAAAATATTCAGAGACATCACTGTGTATAGTGAACTGTAGTTCATTACTAACGTCTGTCTTGGTTTAAGCTAATGCACTATTTTCCTAATAAAGGAACACCTTGATCCTCTAATACCAACAGAGGAAAGAGAATCTTCATACAGAGAAATAGAGATGATGTTGCTCCTACTCTTGTCTACAAGATACGCCTCCTCTAGAGAATCACCCGTTGATCATCCAGCCACCACCTTGCTTTGCCTGCCTATCTAGTGTTCTGGTACTATCTCTCCTCCAACTGCTGGTGCACCTCACATCTACAGAAGTGCTTTCACTACAGTCATGGTGACCAGAGCCCTAGGAGATGTTACCCTTTCAAACTTCACTCCTCAAGTTCCGTGTCTGACCTGATGGTCCACCTTATTCACATAGCTTATTCTCTTACTATCTTTTCAGATGAAATTTTTTCTAGTACCTATGAACCTAAATTCATATCCGCTAAGCCATTATACAAACTCTGAAACTTGTAGTAACATACCAGTGCCTCTGTTCCATTGTGTGGTGTCAAAGTGAAAGCATTTGCAAAAAAACGAAGCTGAGAAAAAGAAAACAATAGTCATTTTAAGATGGTTTAGAATAGACTCACAAAAGAATTACTCATTTAAATATTAAGAAATTCTGCATTTCTGATCACAGATCATTTCTGAGAGTCAAAAAGTAAGGCCAAAAAAAGGAAAGAAATATCACTTTATCTCTAAGATTTTGGGTGAACTACTTTGCACATGAAGGCATCTTTACTCATCTTTTCACCATGCCTGCCATTATGATGGGACATTTTTTCCTGACTTGTAACAAGAAAGGGTTATTTGCTAAAAGTAGGATTTCCCAATGTATGCTAGAAGAACAGTGGTCCTGCAAGAGTCTCAAAACCCAAATGAAAAGAGACAAATAAAAATAAAGTTCTAGGCAGTATGCATAGTCATCCCTTTCTTGAGAACTTTTACTATACATGACCACATTAAAAACTCAGAGAAGTCCACTGCTTTCTGTGGGTTTTTCCAAAATAATCTGAATACAGAACTCTTGGGCTCTACAGTACATAATCAAAGAAAAAAAGTGGACACTCAGATACTAAGGCACTGGTAAATGCCAGAGAGTATGAAGCAGGAGTCACATGTAAGTAACATCAATAACTAAAAGTGAAGAGAAATTCTGCCACCTTCAAGATCAATTTCTTAAATCATTTTCCAAACTTAAAGTGTTTGGTTCATCACTCACCAGCCATATCACGGGCATCAGAAGCATCCACATAAAGGGAGGTAGAATTCCATAGGTCATATTGGTCAGTACTGTACCTGGGCACACCACGTTGGAATAGAGACCCTGGGAGTACAGAGAGAAGTCATAGTAAGATTTTAATTCAGTATATATTGACTCAATCCAACTACATACTAGTTAATAAGAGATACACACATAAGCCAGGAAGCCAGGGATGAAGAATTTATGCTCTAATTCAATTTATCCTTGAAATTGAATAGATCATGGTAGTTTAATAATCATGCACAGAGAACCCTCCATGAAAGGTCTCAGTATGTAAAAATTAGTAAGATAAAGTTTCTAGTCACAAGAAATTTACAGTATAAAGAATAACTGATCTTAAAGCTGGGGTGGGGGAAGTAGGCCCTGGTGACCTGGTGACTTGAGTTTTCCATGTTATTGACTTAAGATCAGTTTATTGATCCTAATAAACACTAGATAAAAAGACCCAAAAGAGTTAAGTCCTTGCCTTTAAGGAATTTCTGACCTAGTAGACAGACAGCTAAGCCTAAAATACATGCTCTTTCCCTCTAGGTACGTGCTATAGAAAGGCACTTGAGATGGGCACTCCTGGCCTCAGAGAGGCAATAAAGGCTGTATTGGGGCCACAAAGACGTGCTCCAAACTGGAGACCTCTAAATCAGGTCCCTAGTCCAGAAGCCATCATGTTAGGAAGTTCCATCCTATAAAGAAGCCCCCAAATAGTAAAGAGCTTATGTTAGAAGGGCCCTGACTCATGTGTAGTAAATTCTGCAGCCCTGAGATTGATTTTACTTTTATCTTGTTTAATTTTCCATGCATTTTAACTTATGTTGATATCAATTACTTTAACTTATTTTTATTACTTGCAACCTCATTTTTTCCTTTAAATAAAAAGATGTGCCAGTGTAACACAGATCTATAGGCATACAGCACCCTGACCAACAGAAGCTAGAAGCTTTCCTTCCTTTATTGGGCAATGCAGAGACATGGCAGTGTGTGACACAGGTCATCTGTCCCTGTGAGTCCCCTTGATGAATCAACCATCCTGGGGGGAAAATGTCAAAAGCTGGCACTCATCATTATAGATCCAAAATCTTCCTAAAGAAGTAACGTATTTTTTCCTCAAGGAACATTTCTTACTCTAGGAAGTACCTAGAAGTAATAATGAACTATTCGATCCAAAATGAGAAATTTTCAAACAAAATTCAGGGTTTTCCATATTTACAACTTTCTGGCATTGATTAGCAAAATCTAGAAGGAAGAAGTCTTACCCAAGTAGACTGGCTCTTAAGAGTCATGCCTTTTAGTAAGGAGGACGATATAAAGTAGAAATCTGGAAACTTGAGAGCTCCCTAGAAGTGGATTTGAATTCTGGCTTAGGATTAGCTTGCAACCTTAGGCAAATTATTTAATCTCCTCATGCCTCAGCTTCCTCTTCTGCCTAATTAGAGGCAATAGATTATGATGATCCCGAGAATTTCTATATGGCTTGCACAGAGGTCACTAATAGATTATTAAAATCCATCAGGGAGCATCTATAGAACCTGACAACATCTCCAGTAACATAAGAGTTCAAAAAGAACATTCCAATATGACTCTTTCTAAGTTTCTTCTTTCCTCAGAAAAGCCAAGGAGGAAAAGTCAAGGGCTGAGAACCAATCCTAACATTTGAGCAGGGAGCAACATTAATTAGATCATCCTTTTTTTAATGAAAAGATGAAATCTCAAACCATTCTTGACAACTGAAATTTAAATAAAATCCTAGCACTTTTTATGAAAAGAAAAGTTAATCCATTCTGACCTTGCCTTCTAAAAAGGAGTTTCCAGAGTACTGAGAAGCAAGTGTGACAAGTTTCTAAACATCTCACAAAATGTTAGCAGATTCATAATTGAACCAAGACACTAAGCCCAAGCTTTAGTAATAGGAGCCAACATACGAACACAGAAGAACACATATAGACACACACATACACGCACCCCATGTACACTCATTCATGCTCATGTACACACACCCACAAAACCCACACATGTAGTACATATGCACCCCCATGTGTGTGCACACACACACAGAAACCACATTCACATACACTCCTACCCATACACGTGTGCAGACACATGCACACAAACACATACACACATTCTCAACATGAAGCAATTCTGCCTGTGACTGCTGCATGGTGATTTCCTCATTCAATCCTCCCAGCACATCTGTGAGGCAGCCACTGATATTATCCCTATTTTTCAGCAGAGGAAACTAGGGAATAAGGAAATTAAACACTTTGTCTAAAGTTACAACCTAGCAACAAAGCCAGAATTCAAATCCAGTTCTAGGAGCACACTCTTAGCTTCCACTTTATATGACCCTCCTTTCAAAAAGCATGGTTCTAAGAGTCAGATCACTAAACAAGTCTGCCTGATAAAGGCACTGTTGTAAAGAAAACCAGGTCAAAACTAACACCTAAGATCTAGATTTCTACAAGCAATTCACGATCAGAGTAGTTTGACTGAGGGAAGACAGTTTCCTGACAATCTTATTTTCCCTTCCTCCTGAACCCTAAGTCTGGCCGACTGTCCTACACATGACAATCTTTAGCAAAAATGTTAGTGGAATTCCACTTCTCCATAATCCTACACTCAGTTAACACACAGCAAACAAAGAAAGATGTCCATAGAAAAGAATGGAGACTTTTACTTAAGAGTTTAGACCTCAGCCGTCAAGGCATACAAAGAACAATAAAGTTTCAGACCATAGTAGCCACAAAGAGCCAGTATAACTGTCAAGGCTCACCTTCTCCCAAGAAACACCCTCTAAACCCAGATCCTCATAGAACCAGAGCTTTGGAGTCACCCCAAGGCACTGCCAGCCAGAAGGCTTTATAACTACTGACTGTTTTATAGACAGCTGATGCAACAAACACCAGGAGGCTGTGTGGTTTAGGGAGAAAAGTCCAAGCTGCAAAATCTGACGGTCTTGCCTCACCTCTGAGCTCTCCCATTTATAATCATGTAACCTCGGAGTAAATAACTCAGTTTCTGTGAATTCCAGTATTCTCACCTGAAAATGCAAATCATCAACCCTACCTAACTGTAATGGGAAAGGTATCAAACAACAGAATCTGAAGAACCAGCAAGAACTTTAACAGAGGCAGCAGCCACGGTCAGTGATGCTGTCCTGCTAATACAGATCAGAGTTCCTGAAGACTACAGAATGGTAAATGAACCACATTTACCTAACAAGTCAGAAATGAATTATTCCTGTCCTCAAGGAACATGCATCAACTCTAAGTCTAAATAAAAACAGCTGAAGGTCAGCCACGTTACTAGAAAACTGGTTGTAGTTAATTAAGAAACCACTGCCCTGCATTTCCTATCACTGAGGCAGACCTTACCCTCTGGTTGAAGTTCCGGTTCAAAGCCACACTCAGAAGATCAGTGGCATATTTGGAAGAGCTATAGGGTTCCTGGCCTTTACTGTGCTGCATGTCCTCAAGGCTGAAGTTAGATCTCTTTGCATTGCGAGATGATGTCCAGATGAGCTGAGACGGACTGTCACTGTGACAGAGGAGAGGTTCTAGTTCCCGAATCTGAATGGATGAAGAAAAAGAACAAAAAGATCTTGAAGACTATGGCGGGCATAGACAATAACAATTTTGAATTACACACGTATACTGGAATGGAACAACTGTTATCCTGGGATCCTTCTCCTCAGTTCTGTGTATTGTTTCTGAAGGGAACTGTTTCTCCACTTTCTCTCTATACTCTTGAGTTGCTATAAAAATAAAAAATACTATATTGATACACTACTATAAGCAAGTCACATTTTTAGAGTCAGATGACCATTGTATTTAAATATTTAAAGATTTAATGCTAACCATAAGCTAACGAACTTATCAAAACAGCACCAGAATGTCCAGACTACTACAGTCTTGGACTTTTCTCCCTAAACCTCACAGCCTGGTGCTGTTTCCATGCAAGCCCTCAGGATCACAGCATTAAGTAGGGGTTTACTAGGCTCAAGGTTGTTTTACCAGAATAAAGTGACCAAAGACATTGGTTTCAAACACCTCCTGGAGCCCATCAACAGTGAGCTTGTCGTGTTGTGTCAGCAGTCCTTCAGCTGTACAAAACATATGGATCATGTTTCTGAAAGAGCAGAACAGTATGACATTTTAAACACTAAAGGTGCTCCCAACCAACCCCCTTGCACACATAAACGATAGCTTTCTTCATTCCATAATGAAAGTAATAAAAACACCTATTTCTTAGATTGTATGCTGAGAGAATTAACTAGGATGCAAAACGCTCTCATTTACAGCAGCACATACATATGTTAGCTGACATTACCAAAAGGAAGGCAAGTCTCCCCAAAATCAACTGTTAACACTATCTTTTCTCAAATTAAGTTACAGATGAACTGTTCTGAAGGAGTAACAGCTAGGCCAAGGCAAAAAAAAAAAAAAAAGTTTTGCTTGCACAGAGTACATTTAATTGCTGGAAAAACTGAGCAGGCTTTTTCACTAGGAATTCTTAGACCACTGAACAGACTAATACAGTGTTTTGCTTTGAGATCGATTTAGTAGGTCAAGACTAGTGTGGACTGTATGTGTCTTATATATGTATACGTGTTTTAGTGAAAGAAAATTATCAATGTAGTAAGCAGCATGAATAAGTGAGCAGAAGGAAGCAGAAATAAGACATTTTTTACTCAGGTTTGTGGTTCAACATTTTTGAAAGCCACTACATTAAAGTATACTAACAGTTTCGGAGGTGGTCATTAGTTCTCTTCATTTCCCTAACCTGCTGGTCAGAACACCTGACACATGGCTGGAAAATGCTTCCAATGGAATTTTCTTGGATATTCAGTCTCCCTCTAAACTTTGCCTAATTTTGGTATGTTCTTGCTAATATGCACATTCAGGCAGACAGAACCTGATATCCTGAAATATCCAACCTGGAGACACTACAAGTGTAAGGCTCACTTCAGACATGACTCTCCCACTACCCAGTCTGTCTGCCAGCACAGGCATTATTCTTAGCTCAGCACCAGAGCTTCCCTCAGCAAACACAGGATGTCTTAAAGAGATAAGATGGAACACAGAATCTTGCAGACATCTGGATATCTAAAGACACCGAAGCACTCTCACCAGACACCTCCAGGACTTTGCTCACTAGGTGTGAAATATCCAGAGAACTTTGATCCCTGAGGTTGACTAAGATCTTCCCACCTAATGTCCCTTGCCTTCTCTCAAGCCCTATAAAAAAGGTCCACTTCTCTTTGTTCCCTACAGAGGGCCTTATCGCCCTCTGTCTCCCTGCACCCAGGTATTAAACCTTACGCCTCATTTCTTTCACATAAGCCTGTTGAGTGTTCTCTGCCTCACACTGTCCCTTACTTACAGTAAGGACCAAGACTTGCGGTGTGCCCTACTTTCTTTTCATGGTGTAGTTGCTATGCCTCTTTCTTATGTTTCCATCCTTCTCAACATCCTTTCTCTTTCATACCTGCAACCGAACACACCTCAGGCAAAAGGAGGCAGAGAAATGAACATCTTTCTTCAAATCAGTTCATCTGGGAAATAGAAATTACCTTGAAAAGAGGCCAGAGAAAAGTGCTTTGATATTTAGCTTTGGATTAGGCATGATCCCAGCATTTAGATATATATAATCTAATCTTTGAAACCTGCAAGTAGAACACCAAAACAAGATTATTAGAATAAAGAAGATAACACTGTATACTGTGTCTCTAAAACACAGAAGGCCTAAGGACAGAAAACACTTCCTGAACATCAAGGTTACCGTATTATTTTTTCTCAAGTTTTTCTTAGCCACAGTAAATAGTTGTGTACTTCTATAAAATACCCTTTTGGACAGTGATTTCAATGGCCTTTAGAGTCAAATCATCTCTAATTAATAAATTCCTGCTTTGTCTTTCCTCATTAGTCACTGCAGCAACCCTCTACTAAGCCTGCTGTCTTTCTGGTCTTACAAAGTTTTTTGCCTCTTTTTTTTTTTTTCTTTTTCCTTTTTTAGTTCACATCTCCCCTAGCCGACAAGTAAAAATTGTATAATGCATGCCAGATCTCACTAGATCAGTGCTAGATTCTGAATGTTAAGATCTGTACTAAAACAGAAGACCCACATGGAAATGGTTCAGTATTCACAGACAGTGGCTATGTCTCATAAAATGGTGAAAGCTCACTACAATAGAATGAGATTATAAAAGCTAGATTAGGCTAAGATATTGTTGGTAGGTTCCAAAAGACTGTCATGGAAGGAACTGTGAAATACTGACCTGAGAAAGCCTTTTCACTTTTAAACCGACATAAATCTTAATCTAAGTATATCGCTTTGAACTAGGTTCAAGGCAGGTAGAGCCTGTTCTCATGATACTCACAGGCACCATCCAGTTCGGAATAACTTTTAGATTTCTCTGCACCACACTGTCTGTGTTCTCTGTTCAATACAGAGTTACTCAAACTGGACCTTGAATTATAGGTAGTTGACAGTATAGATCACACACAAGCATTTCCTGATCATCCTATAAATAATTAACAAATAGCTCTAGTTACTAAGCTGTTAAAAAATTACTATTGTTAACATTATGTAACTGCCAAAAAGGCAATGGTTCCACCTACTATTGACTATTCCCTAATTTGCAAACTTTCTTTTTTCTTTGTCTTTTGTATTTCTGAGACAGGGTTTCAGTATGCAGTTCAGGCTGGCCTTGCACTCACTTTATAGCCCAGGTTGGTCTCAAACTTGCAGCAATCTTCCTGCCTCAGCTTCCCGAATGCTGGGATTATAGGCATGTGCCACCACGTCCAGCCAAAAACTTTCATCTAAGAATCTTAACATATTTTGCTAGGAATGCAGAAGAAATGTTTAGCAAAGAGTAAGAATTCAACCAGAGCACCAAGTTAAACTCTGGCTTGAGTAGAAGAATATCTAGTACTTACTACTCTCAAAGATGATAAAATTGATGGAACTGTTTAATTCTGGGTAAACCAGCATAATTACTCCTTACAAGTTTTCAGTTGCATAAATCTAGCAGAACACAGTATAACAGATGGAAAGACCAGCTGTCCAGGATGGCACTGATTTTACCACCTGGAAAAGATCCTTTGCAAGCTCTCCTGGCTCTAATTTACTTTGGGTCCAGAGTCTATGATATCCATTTGGGCCATTAAATGCAGGAGATCTTTAATATAAGCAAGAGATCTATCTGAACATCTTCATATATTCCCAAGTTTGTAACATCACTTCCTCCATTATTTCCTAAATCCAGGTCAAACAGAGCTATTTTGTGGATTAAATACAACAAGCCTAAAATGTGGATGACACACAGCTGAAACAACTCACTTACCTTCAATGTTCCCCTCTGTCCCACAGCCTCATGGCATTAAATCTGTGTCAAATTACTAAATATCTCATTCATGTACGTTACTAAATTTGTGATAAATTACCAAATATCTCCAATTTTTGGAAGCAATTGAGAATAATCCATACTACAAATGTTAAAACTTTGTGTCTCAAAAGTCAACTGTGCCGGGCATGTTGGCGCACGCCTATAATTTCAGCACTCAGGAGGCTGAGGCAGGAGGATCATGGAGAGTTCGAGACCAGCCTGGGCTACAAAGTTAGCTCAAGGCCAGCCTGAACTGCATAGTGAGACCCTGTCTCAAAAAGACAAAAAAAAAAAATTAAAACAAATTTTAAAAAAATCAACTTTATCGAAATGGGCCACTATGAACTGAGAATGATGGTCCCCTCATGTCAAAAAAGGAAAAAATAATTAAATCTGTACAACACAGGCAAGACAGCCAGCTGGCTAGAAAGGTCTAGGAAAAGAACGCCTACAAACTTCTGACTACTTTTTAACTCTGTAAAGATACTTAATGTGCAGTTTTAGAGGCTGAGAGACTCTGTAAGTTATAGAGATACAGGACATACCACAAATAATGTGGCAGAAAACTCTAGGTGCTCAGCAGCAGAGGAGAAAGAAGCCACATTTACAAAGGCCTATGATGACATGGAGAAGAACTGAGACCAAAAAAAAAGAGAAAACAGAGTTAGATTTTGTTTTGTAACTTGTGTATTTGGAACAGGGAATGCAAATGACTGCTGATTCATGTAAATAATATTCACAGCATTATTCTCTTGCAAATGTCTTCACCGAGACCTTGTTTGTTTCTACCTCATTTCATTTTACTGTCCAAGGAAATAAAATAGTTCTTCATCTCTTAAGGGTCTTAATTACAAAAACATTGGAAAATTAACTATTTTGAAGTGTCCCAAGACTCAGCATGAATTAATGCAGAGTTTACAACATTTTTTGATCATAAACTGCTCTTAGAATAAAAAAAAAGAATGTCCTCTCTCCCAGTAAAAATTGTACTGTGTATGTACATGCAAGTTTGGGTACAATTTCCAGGAGCCATACACTCAAGGACTCTGTTTCTTCAGTTTAGAAATATTTGTCAAATGCCTATTACACGCCGATTACCATACAGATGTGCATAAATTTTTACTAATCTGAAGAAAACAAGTTCTGAGGAAGAAAGGAAAAACGAATTCTAGAAATAAAACGAAGTCAGATGATTCTATTAGCAATATTACTCCTATGTCTGTGTCACTTGTTAAATGTCAGTACTTTCCCTGCCTCCTTAATGAATTTATATGGAAGAAATATGTAAAATGAATTTAAATATTAAAGGAGTTACATTAACTTACGTTCTTACAATTGACCACATATCAGGGTATATTCACACATTAATCTTCATAAACTAATACTACTCATGAACGCTGGAGAATGAAAATGTACTGAGACATACTGTGCCATTCTATACAGATTTCCTCAACACAACTTCTTTTTCCACTGCACCTGTTCCCTTTTCACCTTTGCCTGTCCTTTCTTTATTAAACCATATGTTGCACAATATGCGAAACATCTGTCACCAAAGACATACCGTTGCTTAAGTTCCTTGGCAGCACAGAACACTGATTTCAGGTTGCTGACGTCTACTTGCACAATGGTGACCACTGCAGTGGGGTGAGAGGTTACAAGTGCATCCCGGACGGCTTCTGCTTTGCCCATGTTCCTGCACGCCAAACACAGGTGGACCTCATCCTCTTCAGCCAGCAACCGCTTGCAAAGGGCTAGGCCAATGCCACTGAGAAAATAATTTAGGCACAGGATACGCATTAACTGATATGGTGCCAAATGAAGGCATTTCTGTCTTTGGTTCAGAAAATAAGTTGTGTTCAGTTGCGCTCCACTGAGAAACCCAAGAAAAGAAAATAATCAAACATTATTTAAAGAAGGAAGGTTTCTGACTCTCACAGTCACTTGCTCAGGATGATGCCTGGTTTGTCTCTCTCATTCCAAAAACAGGCAGTATGTAGCTGGTCTTCCTCTTGTACTTACTATATTATTCAGGAAAATGATTCGATACAACACCAGTAAGTGTTATTTAGCTGTTTCCTGTTGGCAGCATTGCTACTATACGGAACACCAGGTATCTCTATTAAGGGAATGAATGAGCTTTTCAAAAAGAAGCATCAGTACTGTAGCAGGAGGCACAAATCCCTCTCAACTGCCATGATTGAATAACCAATAGCAAGAGAAAAAACTCTGCATGATTAAGCAGAAGGAAGGAATAAACACTAGATGCGGGCCAAGAAAGAGAAGTGATGAGTATACCACTAAAAGACTTTCAATGAACTGTTTCAGAAAAAGCAATATAAAACTGCCCACTAGATGGGGACAGAAGTCAGACTAGCTTTGCTGGCAGCAAAGAAAACCTGTGTAATAAACTATCTTCTAAGACTCAAGCTAAGGACAGGCAAAGTCAGAAACCTGCACCCAAAAGTCTACAGCCATCAGTCACCCAAAGGCCCTGTCAAGAGATCACCAAAGTACATTATGTTTATTCATCCTCCCTTCTGATAGCAGGCCTCTAAAATTACTATATAACTACACATATTGCAAAATATGTACAAGACACAAACAAAATCAATTCTGATTTATTTACAAACTTTCAACACATCAGTTGTACATCAGTTGACACAAATGAGTGGGCACACTAAACACTGTCTCCGGACACACCCCTATATCGTTGGCTTGGTTCATATGGACACAGTTAACCTGAACAGTCTTAAGTAACATTTAACACCCGCACTGTTTTAATTCCTCAAAATGTGAAGTGTTACAAGTAGAAAAATGGTTTGGTTGTTCTTCATGGAAGCACAAATGATAAAACAGACAATAAAGGAGGCTGAGAGTCCAAGTGGAGCAAGCCTGGATTAATGATGGACTTGTTACTCTGCACTCGGATTATGCATTAACAGGAAAAGTTTGGGGTTTTTTTCCTATATGCTTCTGCATATGTTAACGCCGTGCTGCATGGAATGAGATGTCTGCCCACCGCCCTAGTGCTGGTGGATGTGAAAATTTAAACACCGTGCACTGACAGGAAACACCGAAGAGGAGGTTAAAGGCAGGGGAAGGAAGGAGTCCACGTGGGAAATTCCATTTTTTCTTGATAGGCTGATCACGGCGGCGTGGATCACTCACTGGCACTCAAGTTTTCCTTCCCACTGACAGTTTTCATTTCACAGCGCCAGCTCCTGAGCACCTCTTGGGGAACCTAGAAAACCGCCAGGCAGGATCTCTGCCCAAGTCCCCACAAAGGCAAATTCAAGAGCAGGCGCTGCTGGGGTCGTTAGTAGTGGGCCGCATATCTCTGTTCCCTCGGACCCCTGAAACACAGCCTCCGCAATCCCGACTGCGGCCTCACCTGCTCGCCCCGGTGACCAAAACCACCTTCCGCATCTCTGCACTCAGAAGCTGAGCAGTAAAGCAGGTGCTACTTCAGGCTGTCGGAAGCCCTGAATCCTGGCTCGCCCCTGTAGCTGCTTCCACCAGTACCCGAGCCAATCAGAGACAGGCTCTGCCCCGCCTCCCCTTGCGTCATCGACACCGCCCTGAGTCTGCCAATCGCAGTCTAGTCTCCGCTAGTCTCGCCAGGGACGCGTGAGGTGAGATAGGCCGAGGGGCGGAACTGTGTGGCGCAGAGGCCCCAGCCAATCAGGAAAGTGCAGACCTCCAGGGCGCTGGGTCCAACCCGACTTTTCAGGTTCCTCGGCGCCTGGTCTTCGCCCGGGTGTGGGCGTGGCGGGCGCGGCTTTTGTGGAGACCCCGCCCAAATCCACAGTGTAACGTCTGGGCGTTTGTACTGGATCTTATTTTAAAGCAAAGGGTTGGGTCTAGGAGCTAAAATTTGGGGATTATCAACTTAAATTTTCCCCTGCTTTTTGGATGTGTAGATCTAGCTTCTGATCCCAGACCTCCTTCTCTAAAGAATCCTCTTTGTGAAAAAGAGCGTTGGTTTCATTAAGAATTGCATGTAAAAACGTGTGAAATACCGGTTTTAAAGCTTGAAACGTGGCACAGAATTAGGGGATTTCACAACTGAAGTACTGAAAACTTGCTGTAATCTACATCAGTGCCTCTCGAATTCTCTGCGGTAAAGTATCTGTTTTTTTGTTATTGCTGTTGTGTTTTGTTTCCAAGCCATCCTAGATGGGTACTTGGGGAAAACACAAAAAAGAATTACTGGAAAAATAGAAGGCAAAATGCATACCAATTACAGACCCCAAATTTTATTACATTCAACACATATAAACGCACCTAACTGATATAAAAGTTTCTAATGGTTACTCTCAGTTTCTATATTTGTAGTAGACTTAACCAGTCTGGCACATTTATGCATTGCACATTTATACATCAAAATCTACTGAACATACTTTAATATAATTCATGACTTCTTTCAAAGTTTCAATTACTTAATGAATAGCAATGATCCCTAAATGGTTGAGGTAATCTATATTGGTTATCCTACAGGTTTGGATTGACACCAGCTTGGTTAGTAATCTTTTATTTTATACCATAAAATAAGATGTAAAGAAAAACTCTGATTATTTTAACATCCGATTTCGAAATAATAGTGTTTTATGATTGAGGTGGAACTCGACTTCTTCATCCCACATTCACCTGTTCTAAAGAGACTACAGTTCACTGGTATTTTCTGAAAGTCCAAGAGTAAAATTAACTGCAGTCCTAGTCAAATGGCATGTGCCTGTAATTCAACCACTCTGGAAAGCTGAGGCAGGAGGATCACAAGTTTAAGCCCAGTTTGGGCAATTTACTGACTGAGCAAAAAAACCCTGTCTCAAAATAAAAAACACAGAAAGTGGCTGGAAGTGTGGTTCAGTGTAAAGGTCCTAGCTTCAATCCTCAGTACTAGAATTAACTCCAATCTTGAGAGTCTAACTAAACATTCCTTTGAAAATGTTCTCAAACTTAAAGGTGACATGCAGAAGGAGTAAGAGTGGAGAAAGAGTTGGTGGGTGTCCATAGGAAAATTCATTTCTGCATGGAAGGAGTAAGGGCCTTGCCCGTGCAGTCTTGGGATGACAGCCAGTGTAGAATGGACTGTGAATTAAGTGAAGGCCAGAAGTCTTCAGAGCAAGACCAGTAAGCTCGTCCCTACTGAGACTTTCATCCAAGCTGAGCACGGAAACTTTTGCGTGTTCCTTTTATTCAACTGAAGTTGCTGCTTTCAAGGTGCTTTGACCTTTGAAAGACAAGCTGAACTGCTATGAGTACCAGGAAGGGAAGGAAAATAGACTCATTTTCAACACATGCCATTTAATTTCATATTTCAAAAACATTTTATCACATAGAAGACAGCACTGTAACTGTTGTTATGTGTTTTTAATCAGAGGTGGGTGGGTAGGTGTAGCTGTTTTAATCACCCCGAACTATCTTAGGTTTGTGTTGCTCAGGGGTTCATTCAGTTTTCTTGGAAACCAGATAAGCATTGTGGTACACATTGGCTCCATCTGTCACTGACAAACTGAACAGTAAATATATCATCTCCACTTCTGAATATCATTCTACTACTTCATTTGATAAATATGCTTCTGCCTGAAGTCCTGCAACAGATCTCTGGTTCCTCTTGTAGTACCAGAAACAGTCCTTTAGATAGACAAAGATGAATGAAGGTATCTTTTGCTCAAATAACAGCTCTGTCTCTGGCCCTTACACATTTCTCCAGCACTAACTTGCCTCTTGTTTGCAAAGTGGGACAAAAGAACAACTGCTAATGGATCCATGAAGTTTCTCTTGTTCATAACTTTAATCAGTTTTTCCTTGAACTCATTTAGACTGGCCTAAAAGTACCTATGGAGTAGAACTATACTCAATCCATTAAATAAAATGATAAAATGTTGTGTGTTGCTAATACAGAGGGAATCAGTCTTATGTAGGATTCAAGGGTTACATAAGGGACTGCTTTCAGATATAAGTATAGTGGTACCTCAGTTCATGAACTTAATTGGTTCCGCAATTCTGGGGAACATAGCTGCGGTCATGTTCATCACCCTATATGGAGTTCAAAAATGGAAGCAAAACTTTGCTTACTGCTTCTGTTTGCAACAGAAGTGATCATGAACTGAGGAATCACTGTATATCATTTCTTTATCAAATATGAAATGAGTATAACATTATAAATAGGAATAAGCCAGTTTATTAGTCCTCAAAACAACAAAATATAGTGCGTGTAGCTCTTAGTTGAATAAGAATAGATGTAATCTCCGTCCTTATTGACAATTTATATATTCAGATATATGCATAGCATGTCTGCACACATGAATTCTTTTATGCAGCATGATAAATACAGCAAATATTTAATTTTTAAAAATGTATTATAGTAAGACATATTGCCATTAATCCTTTTCATTTTGAACACACTTAGCCTATCATTCTTGCCACTTTCTGAAGCAGTTCTAGAAAGCTTTCATGAGTGTCTTTAGTTGCCCTGTGACAGATGCCTTGATGTCCTGAATGGATTCAAAACGTTTACCTTTCATGGACATTTTTACTGTGGGAAGAAGCAGAAGTTGCACAGTGTTAGATCTAATGGATAAGGTAAATGAGGACACACCATAATATTTTATTTAACAGAAATTGGTATAAACATTTTGAATTGATTCAGGACACTGAGGTAGCCATGAAAAGACACTCATGAAAGAGGACATCCAGAACTCCAGAAAGTGACAAAAACAATGGGATGAATAGGTGTGTTTGAAGTGATGGTTAGTATTCTGAGGGGGATTGATGATAATGTGTCTTTTACTGTAATAAATTTTATTTTTAATTTAAATCTTCATCCCATCATGTATATGTATATATATTATATACAGATATATCTCCATATAATATATATTATATACCAAAATATATCATTCATCCCTGTGTTTAAACCCTGGCTATGGGTGTTGATGATAGAATCATACATTTCCAAACCTCACTGCTGGCTTTGTTTCATTTTTCCACCTTTGACCCATTGCCCTTCCCACCACTTCATTCCCTGACTCACTAAAACCAAACCAGAGACTCTGCAGAGTTGATGTGCAGTCCTGAGTCCTCTGCTTCTTCAGCATTCCTGTCCATTTTCCTTATCTAGTGTTGTCATTGCTGAAAGAAATGTATGATGTTTCTAGGAAAACTGAGTTAATCTGAGTTAAAACATAAACTTCTTCAGGTAAAACGTGTTTGTTGGGATGATTTCATCTTAATCTCTGTTGTGGAGACTATATTCTGGCTGTGCGTATTTTTGGGGGGGTTGTACTGTACAGAGAGTCTGAGACAGACTGTGTTTGGGTTTAGCAGGGATTTCTGTGTATCAAACAAGACAGCTACAACAATAGCAATAAGGATCCCCATTTAACTCTGGACTGGATTCTCCAGAACTGAACCAATTAATGTGAGGACATCTTTACAGTGTCAAAGACCAATATGTTTTTCTTCCAATAAATACTCAATGAATATGTTAGAAGCCTGTTTCAGTAACCACCATTGGATAGCCACAACAAACAGATGTTCACACCACATACACCCACAGCTGTGCCTTCACATCCCATCACTTCTCCAAAAATGATGTCAGGAGGGAATGTAACAAAGCCAAGAATGGGTGCTGTTTACACAAAGAAGGATCCATCAGTAGCATGACTCTTTAATCATTGTTATTTACAATTTATCATCTGACAGACTTACAGAGAATAAATAAAGAGAAGAAAATATACAATTGGTATCACGCTTCTTTTTCTAATACAGAAAAATTTTACATATTCTATCGTGGAATGTCTATGATAGTTTGAAGCACAAATTAAACCCATTTGCTGTTTACCCCTCTACAAGACACATGCTCCTCCAAAGCCTGCAGAATAAAGCCCAGATGTTTCCTCATCATAGAACATACCACACAGCTGCAGACACTCAATCCTCAGAAAGAGTCCCCATCAGGAAATGGGAGATGACTAAAACAGCATCAATAGTAAATAACTATTAAGATAGGCTAGATTAGAAACTTTCTGTGTTTGCAGGAATCCTCGCAACTTCCAGTTATTTCAAAGCCTCTCTTTAGGAAAATAGTTTTGCACTGAAAGGGGTGTGTGTGTGTGTGTGTGTGTGTGTGTGTGTGTGTGTGTGTGTCTTTTTTCAGATTCTTCCTGGACATACAGTTATGATTGTTCATGAGTATGGGCTACCTTGGGAGTCAGATCCCTTTTCCTACAAAGGCCTGTAAAGTTGTAGACAAGGTATCCACAGGAAAAACTACAAGGCTTGCTTCAAATCTGCTGGGTTTGAAGCCAGAGTAAGGTCCCTGGTTTTGATCTGGTGTCCTATTAAAATACCTTGCAGTGCTGTCTAAATACTACAAAGAATAAACTATGCCCACTGATTAAGTTTATCATCACCAAGTATACAAATGTAGGATACACTGCACTTGATACAAATCTGGGCATTGTTTTCGTATTTCAAAATAAGCCATTTAAGTTAAAGCAAAGCAATTTTTCCTAGGTTCACCCTTGCTAGATAACAAGTTTTCACTTCAATCTTTTTTCATTCAAGAACAACAGTCACAAAATATTCAGCAAGTGTTCACAAATGTGCTCAGAACTTTGCAAGACACACTATCATAATCTTGAATAGGGAACTTAAAAATTGGTCGCAAAGCTCAAAGCCATAATCCACACAACCAGAGTTTTAACGTCTCCCCAAGTTGGGGCTGTGTTTGCATTTAATTTTGTCCAATGTGGTTGCTATTCCAATTCAGAGTAGATATTTAAACAAATGAAACTTCTCTGTATTCTGAAAAAAATGTTTTACCATATATCAGGGATCTATATCATTGTAATCTGTTCCTTTCACCAGCTATATCTGCTGCCATTAAATAAGTGCCACCCAACTCTTGGTCAAAATATTGGTTCACTGTAGAGCTCACCTCATCACCAGGGAAACTCTCTCAACAGGAACTACCTAGAATTTGCTTCTGTACCTGACTCTCTACTAAACAAGCTGTGGACTTACTGATTTGTATTATCTAACCCTTCTGTGTTATTCTTGTATTGTTTCAAATCCAAACAAACAAACCTTGAAACTTAGAGCCAGGTTAGGCTTGATATTGCTGATTAATAAATGAACAGGTTAATTCCAATCTTATCTTTCATGTTCCATCCAAGCAAGCCCTAGTTACAAATCAGAAAAAAATATATTCAGCAACAAAATGAACACATGTGGAAAATCTGGTGATGTGCAGATAAAGTCTGTAGTTTAGGTAGTAGTACACTAATTTAAATTTTCTGGTTTTGAAAACAGCTCAAAATGAACTATTGTTTCCATAGTTTAAAGTGGAATGTAAAATATTATCAACAAGGAAAAACTAAATCTAGAGTAAGGCTGCTCTAATTTTTTTAACTTCCTGTGTGTCTTAAATTATTTCAAGATAACATATTTCTAAAAAAGATATAGCAACTAAATAAATACCATTCTTCTGCCACCTAACACTGCAGCTAATTGGAGGAGGGAACTCAAAATGCCAGAAATTGAATCCCCATTAACCACTCCAGTCTTTTTCCTTTCTAACTCAGCACTCCAAAAAAGTTACCATGTGGCACACATTCATCTGTCTGTTTTAAAAATGGGAAATTTCAATTCAGAAATATTTCCCAGAGTGGATCGAGATTGACATGGTCCAGGAACATTAGGGACATGCCCTGCACTGCTAGAGGATAGAGAGTTCTCTTGGAAAAGACTAAGCTGCCAAATTCCATGTCTGTGAATTCAACTGTGGATCAAAGACTTCATAGCTATTTATTGTAATTCTCTTCATTTTTGTAGTTTGGGGCAGAACATGCTGTTTTGTTTTAGTGTATTTCCTTGGAACATCTTTCCTTCCCCTCATTCCGACACTTCTTCCTTCTGTTCTCCTTTACTCAAAACACGTGCCCCACCCGCACCATGGCTTTTTTGTGGGAAGTCTGGATGGGACTGAAAAGCACATGTTTTACATAGGGTTCATACCTTTTGTGCAGATATCACACAAGACTTAGTCCTGTCTAATTTATTGTTTCCATGTCTACCTGTGCTCATTTTTGAAAATGGCTTTCAGGAACAAAAGCAAGAGAAGAGAACACAAAGACTCAGAAACCACCTTAAACTCCCCGCTTCTAGGTCTCCATATCCATCTCAATACTTGGGAAGCCAATCCAGTTCAGGCCAAAAATTGATTTCTTCTCATCCATACTTTTGTGAGTCTAGAACACAAATGACCTTTCTCACCCACTTCCTCTGAAATGGTCACTCTTGTGTTATTACGTGGTTTTATATCCATGAAGGATGTTCCCTTTCTTAAAACTCAAAAAACCTTCCCTTTCATATACTGCACCTAACTTTTCATTTGTAAATAAGTATTTTTTACAATATCACCCTGAATTTCTTCTTTCACCATGCATGTTTTCCTTTATCTTCAAGTCACTTACTTTTTCTAGCTTCTGTCAGATCTCTCTTCAGAGAGACTTGCTTTTATGCTGCATCATGGAGTCCATCAGCTCCAGATCGCTGGTTTCCACCTTGCTTGAGCTGCACACATCTTCCCCACATTTTCACTTCCCAAGCATTTTCACTGCCTCTCCTCAGGGAGCCTCTTTCCTTGCCTTCTCCAGCCTCCCTGTCTGCACATACGCACATTCACATATCCACTTTGTTTTATTCCCCCACTTGCACAGCACTCTGTTACATACCCTTGACCACCCTTGAGTGATTTTTTTTTTCACAGCTTTAAAACCACAAGCTCCCTTTGGGCACTGTTTTTCATGCCTGATCACACAAGAGGCATATGTGTCAACATTTGGATCCAGCTATCAACACATTGACCAGCAGAAGTACAAATTTGGATCTTACCATCCTAAAACACCTATGACATAAAATGATTTGTATATACCATGAAGAGGATAATTCACTGCAAAGATAGCAAAGCCCCACAGTTTCTCATCAATTTACCTATCTTCTTTTCCAAACAAATCCTAGTCCCATCCCTTTAATTTCAGTTTGAGCCACTTTTTAATTCTACATACAGAGACTACCATTTACTCTGTTGAGTCACTCGAAGTTGTGTTGCTGAACTCTGTGAGTATGACTGGGTTAGAAGTTAAGCCTGTGTTTATAATTCAAAGGTCTCAATGGCATAAGACAAAGCCTTATTACACAAAAAGGGATATTTGCATGTGACCAGCCACCTAAAACAAATTATCTCCGTGACTCAAAGTCAGGGAAATACAGATATTCTAATTTCAATTCAAACAATTTGAAAATATGAATTCACTGAATACAGTGATTTGGAACAGAAGCCTAAAATGTAAAAATTGGAGAGATGTTAGTCAAAGGAAGGCAAAATGGGATTGCTTTCTTTTGCTGCATAAGAAGTTGTGTCATGATCTGGATGTGACCCCTCCTGAGGCAGAAAGGATAAAGAGAACAGCCCACAGGTCTTGACATCAAGTCCTTCTAATTCTAAGGAAGCTAACACTTTGAAATGAGTGTGGCGGGTTTCTAAGAGAACATGTTTGACTCTTAGTATAGTAAATGAAATAATGTATGTGGAGACACCTGGTAACTATAAAGCAATATACAAATGAAAGGGTCACTATTAGTACCATTGTATTTCCCATGACCTTTTTTACTGACCCCAATTTTCAAAGCAGGAGATAACAAGATTGCTAAATCTGGATGAGTTTTCCAGCAAACAGTGAACATATCAGAACTGGAAGAAACTGTAAGACCACCTAATTTCTTTAAACAGATAAGGAAACAAACTTCAGAGAAATAAAGTGACTCGCCCAAGATAGTACACGTGCCTTAATGCAGAAAGAGGATCAAAGTTCCCAAACCAGTGCTCTCTTGCCTCTCAAACCAGTGATTTCTCCAAAGTTAATCCTGGGATAAAGTGCAGAGTCACAGGGCATCCATGGAGGAAGTATGTTTGCTACAGTCAGTACATGACATGCAAAATGTGTCTGGGGGACTTAGATTTATGCTAAGGGTGTGGAGCAATAGACATATTGAAGGCTGAGTGGGGAGGTGCTCAAATTCTCAAGACTGTGGAGAAGGTAGAATGGGCAAGCAACAGGAGCAGACCGGAGGAGGCAAGACAATTTCTTCGGGAAGCTTATCTGTGATTTTTCCTGGTTTTTCCTCAATGGAAATTAAGGGGCCCCTTTTCCAGCTTTCCACTGAATTTGTGGATTTGCGCAGGATTAAAGCTCACAGTCTGCTCTAAGGAGACTTCTACTCATCACTGCATTCATTCCCATAAATTCTGAGAACAAAGCCTCATGATTTTCTGCTGGTCACATCATCTCATAAGCAAGAGCATGTACACTAAGCCTAGCTAGCAGTGGATGCTCATGGTGTGCCTCACTGGAATTAAGGGATTTTGGAGTTAGAAGGACGTTATATATTTTCTCTTACAGCCATCTATCTTGTGTTTGAAAATCTCCATCTTTTGCATAATTTTTCAGCCTATATCTGACACTCATCAGTGACAATGGACTGCCCGTATTTGGGGCCAATCCCATTCATCCTTGTATATTCAGACTCTAGCTATGTCTTCCCTAAGAAGTCTCCCTGTGGCTTCCCTTATTGGTCCTAGATCAACCTTTTGGGGACACTCAGAGTAGTGTCCTACTTCCTGCTATACATGGCCCTTAGGTATTTATGCCTGAGAAGTTCAGCCCCTGGTGCATATATCCCACAAAGGTTTCATCTATTAAAAGTGATAGATGTGGGCAAGAAGAGCCAGAGGATCTCCTATCAAGGTAACCAAAAACAATCAGGCTTTGCTGATTAAAAATATCAGGATTTCACTAAAATACATACTTGGAAATATCAGACCCAGACAAAGAAGATTATCCTCACAAGTGAATAATGAGGAGTATACCTGTTACGTACGTTCCATAGAGTTCCTTTCCTATGTCTACTACCTATTCAAGAATTCTTCCATCCAGGAGTTGTAATCACAGTTCCATTTCTTACAGTCTTGCAACAGACATTTTTTCCTATCTACATCCCTGCTGCTTCACATCCAAACTTCAACCTTGATCCCCATTCATGAAGGAGGAAAACAGCCATTCTAAGAACCTAAGACTTCCAGAAAGTACCATACACTTTGACAGGGAAGGAAAAACAGGGCACAACATGTCCAGAGACCAAATCAGAAAACCATATTTGATTAGTTGTTGAATGCTGAGTCCTCAGATTCTCCGTGGCTACCAAGTTTTTTCCCTATGCCTCACCTCATGTTTCCTAAGATATTAGCATTCTTCAGTTTTTCCTTTCTGAAGATACTTTACAAAAGGTGACATGGAAAAAATATTGTCAGATCTGCACATTTATAAACATAAGCATATTTAACCTTTATAAATTACCTGAATTTTCTAGCCTTCATTATCTAACACTTGTTATATCAAGTAAACTTTCTTTTACTATATTTTATTTATCCTAAGCTTTTTTTTCCCTTTTTAGTTCTTTAATATAAAAAAAAAGTATATATGAGTCAGTGGTAGGGAGTAAGGGAGTACAGTGAGGGAAGAAAGGGACAGAGAGAGAGAGAGAGCAAAGCAAACAAGCCTCTGTCCCTCAAGTCTACTAAATGTCCAGATGGAGTGGCATAGGCGTGGATGAGTGGTAGATCTTGTGGGGAGGACCTGGGCCGTCAGGACATTGGCAGGCACTGACAGCATCATTCGTCGCCTTGTTGAAGGAGCAGAAGATGGATTTCTTGGAATGAAGGACGGTGCTTGGTATCTCTTCTCCAGCAGCTGAGCATCAGTTTATACACAGAGTCAGGGCAAATGGCTGGTTGAGGGAGGTAAGTCTTTGGAAACAAAATTTAAAAACAGAAAACATATTAAGAAAAGGAAAGAACAAGAACACTGTTTGCATCATCGTTTGATTTTTCCCCTGTCCATGTTCTTGGACTTGATTAGTGCCATGGGTGTCCTGTCTGTTCTTCTTACTCACAAGAGTTCTAACTCATATCAGCCCCTTCTATGTCCCCTTTGTCTTTTCTAGTTCTCTGGGGTAGGATTTCCTGATGGGGCATTTTTTTGGCTCCTGCCTTCTTATAAAAGGTAAAACTGAAGCAAAAATGGAGCAGATGTTCCATGATAGACCATGTTTGATCTCCCTATATGAAGGTTTTTCTTCTTTGAGCCAATCGTGGCAGACATAGAAAGCTCATTAGTAGCTCCAGTTTTTAATTGGCATAAAATCTTAGATGCAAAAACTAGGATGCATGATGTGTCCACGTAATTCCTAAGCACAGTGTTCTCTCTGCTTCCCCTCCCCTGTACTGGCCCCCCATAGAGGAGATTGGCTTTCTGCTTTTTAACATGCACCAAAGTCAGTACCTTTATTCCACCTCCAGTCCTGCAATGAATTACAGCTTAAGATTCTACTCTGAAATTGCCAGTTATAGATTATTTCAAATCAGATACCACTCTGTTGACTCCCAGGTCATTTTTTTATGTGTAAAATCTATTGCTTCCACCATTACCCATGTTTTTGAATATCTTGGTACGTGAGATGAGAATACTAAATATGGTGAGTGTTTAAACTTTAAAAAATGATTACAGTAAAAGACATTGCCATTTTACTATACTGCTGCTGCTCAAAATACTACCCTTTACTTCAAACACGTATCAATTATTCTTGCCATTTTTTTTGGGGGGGGGGTGGTTTCTCTAGTACCAGGAACCAAACTCACGACCTTGCACTTGCCAGGCAGGCGCTTTGCCGCTGAGCTAAATCCCCAGCCCCTTCTTGCCATTTTCTGAAGCAGTTCTGGAAGTCCTCTTTTGTGAGTATCATTAGTTACACTGTTGTGGCTGTCACAGTATTCTTAATTGACTCAAAATGTTTACCTTTCATGGTCATTTTGACTTTGGAGAAGAGCCAGAAGTTTCATAGTGTCAGATCTGGTCAATAAGGTGGCTTGAAGATATACCAGAATGTTTTTATAAGCCTGTCTTTCAGTTAGCACACAGCAGCAGCATTCATGATTTTTTATCACACTGCATGAAAACACTCTTGAAAGAGGACTTCCTGAACTGCTTCAGAAAGTGGCAAGAAGAATGGGATAAGTGTGTTCAAAGTGAGAGTGGGTATTTTGAGGGGAGCTAATGGAAATGTGTCTTTCACTGTAATAAAATTTTTAAATTTAAACATTCACTGTATATTTTGACCACGCTCCACACTGACAGATTCCTGAACCATAACTAAATTTCTCATGCCCTTTGAACCATAGATCTATCCATTGTCTTTGCTGAGTCCGACGTCTGTAGCTACTTAATCATTAACCCGTTCCTGCTGCCCTACCTCCCGCTACACTAACACCAGTCTACATCATGCATCAGAGAAGCTAGGATTTACCCAACATCTGCTTATTTCCTATACCCATCAGCTCTACCATCACAAATAAAAACGCACATATCTATGACTTATATTGGAATCTCAAATTAGGTCTGACAAGCCTTTACTCAGCATCATGTTATAGGGTACTATGGCACTAAAATACCAAGTTTTCAAAAGGAAATATTATCAATATAAATGAAGTACAGAGTAACAGACATGCACATATTGCTGATGGAATTTAAAACTGCCAAGCCTTTTTGAGATGTTTACTAAATAATTTAGAAAATATATATGCGCTTTGAGCCAATAGATGTCAATAAAATAGAAATAATGATTTAAATTATTAAAGCTACCCTTTTCAAAGTCTTATAAACTTGAGAAATAATTGAAGGTATGTTTCAAAATAATTAATATTACATCTATAGAATATTATTTGCCCTTTGTAACTTCAAACTAATAAAATTTCAAGACTGCATTTGATTTTTTAGTTATTTAATTCCATTTAGACCATAAGCCTGCAAGAAAAATGCCACCTGGGAATTATTCACAACTTAAGATAAAATTGAAGGGAAAATGTCAAATACATTTTTAAGTCATTGAAATTATTGTGTAGATGACCAAGTATTTTCCATTGAAGATGAAGGATTTAAGATTTGCTTAAGCTATGAATACTAAGTGTAAAATTCTTTCTAGGTTCTATGGTACTCAGATTTTTTCTTCTGTATCACATCCACTGTTTTCAATAATTTAGCAGTGCCACTTGAAAATGAGCTACACAGAATGCATTTAAGCACTGATAATGTTGAGAAATTACTGTCCCTGCACTCCCATGCTAAACTTTAAAAAATTTGAATACCAAACTTAAATAATAAATTTAATAGCGATTAAGCAAAATGTAATAAATTTCAAATTTAGTACATTATATTCATTCATGTTTATTATGTTTAATATTTTAAATTTAGTAGCATTTGTGGTTATAAAGAAGAATTTTACTTAGCACCTAAAGATAATATTTGGCTGTGGCATAGCTTCAGTCAAATATCTGACTTTACTATTTGACGATCAGTCATAATGCATATTTGGTGCACCAACAGCACCTGGAGAAGGAAAGTCAGTGGACTTGTTTTAAACATTTATCTAAAACTAAGAAAGATAAAATCTTGGAGATTATTAAAAATAAAATTCCTCTCAAGTGATAAAAAGTTTTTTATGAAATTGAAAAATATAACACCAATCATTAATATGTAACAGTTTAGAACTAAGTAAGAAAAACTCTAATATAAAAAACACTTTTAAAGTAAAGTGGACATGAAAGGGTTGGGAGGGCATGCCTTTCTTTGTTGAATGTTTGATGGTCAATTTTTGTTTCATATAATAAAAATTCTCTCTAGCATTTCAGTCACTGAATACATTCAGGAATACTGAAAGCCTTGTAATATTTCTACTTTTGCCTATAATTCTAAGATATACTGAAATTCAAACCACTATTATAATGGATAAGATTGCATTTTCTAATGGAGCACACCATCTTTAACTGGCTATGTGTTCTCTCAAGGTCACTGGAGTGGCTGGGATGTATCTGTACAGGAAAAAACAAACAAACATGTTTTCCTGGTGTGTTTGTTTCTTTCGTGAACACAGGAGTAAGTTTGGTCACTATTATAGAAGGCAATTGCATCACAGCCCAAATAGGTAATTCACATTACCAAAATAGTTATAATGCTATAATGCTACCAAAATAGTTACAATATCAATAGCTACACAATAACAAGATAAAATTAAATCCTAGGTTCTCACTCTCATTTACAACATAGATTATGCATTGTTCTTCCCATTTTCTTATTTGTTTGCCTGGATCTATTTAAACTACAGAGAATACACTTTTTATTTTCTGCAAAAGCCTTCTTTTGCTATTACCATATTCCTGCTGGAGATGATCTAATTCAAGAGTATTCTGTAGCCAGGTCATTTTAAGGAAATACAATATACTAGTTATTGGTGAGTTCTAAATAGCAGATCTCACATAAATGTTAAAAATTGAGCTAGCCAAAGAAAGCTTACCTAAGAAGGCTAGGAATTGGGATTCCTTATGATCTGAAGAACCCAACTTTCCCTGAGTTACGAGAAGCATCATTAAATTGGCCCAAAGGTGCCTTCCAGGAACATGAAGTCCAGGATATACCTCTCCATTTCTGGACATACAAGTCTAAAAATATTGCTACATAGAGGATTTTTTCAGTATTTGGGATTGAACCCAAGGTCTCTGCACTAAACTACATCCCCAGCCCTTATGTTATTTTTAATTTGAGACATAGTCTCACTAAGCTGCCCGGGACGGTTTTAAACTTACAATCCTCCTGCCTCAGCCTACCAAAGTGCTAAGATTACAGATATGCACCAATTCACCTGGCCACTAAGGCTTTAATGAATGCTGATAAGTCCCTTATTCTTTTTTACACATATACTTTTCAACCAGGAGGACAAACCAATGCTCTAAATCAAGAAATAGAAAAAACTATTGATCAAGAGGTAAAATTTTTATATCCTGCTACTTTTGTGTTCAGAGGAACCTGATATGACCTTTCATGCTTTTCAAGAATTGGTGGGTAGACACCATTGATAAAGCAGAGTATATGACTGCCTGGGGATGATTTTGGTCTTTCACATAATCTGAATAGTTGGTAACAAAAGACTATAATCAGATAGGCCATCATCCAGCTCAGATCTATCCTGCTAAATCAGAACTTTCTTATATTTGTCTTCTAGGAGGACCTAAATCCATTTCCAACCACCCCCAGTAGTTCTTACCTGCCTCCCTTGGTCTCGGAAGAACTCTCCAGTATTCTCGATAACCTGTTCATCTGACAGCTGGGAATATGGCTGCTCTTGACAAAAAGTGAAAGTCTCCCACAGAGTCACCCCAAAGGCCCACACATCACTTGCTGTGGTGAATTTTCCCTATTTAAATAGGGAAAAGTAAAATCAGAATCACTGTGCATAAGAAAAAGTTATGTTCTCATAATCTAGAATTAATTGTCCTTCCCCTACTACAGGTAAGGAATACTGAAACTGCCAAAATCTGGGCAGAAGATCTTGAAGTGACAATGTGAAGTTGTCAAAAAGCACGTCATTCTCTCATCCTCCTGGTTTTGGCTTAGTTCTGCTTTTGGAGATGAGAGCCAAGAGCTGAAGGGAAGCCACCATAAACCATCAGACCCTCCAACCAGGTGTCAGAAAGTCAGCCTTGCTCTCAGGTAACTTTGGGAAGATATCCCAGGGAAAGTCAGAATGAAAAGTCAACTGTCTTTATATTAGAAATAGAGAAACCTGCTTTAAGCCCCTGGTATAATCCCCTTTGTAATCTGGGACTATCATTTCCCAGTTTAGTGATAGTAATGGTCTTAACAGTGATAACAATGAGATTTAAATGCAGCTAGCATGCATTAAATATTAACACATTTTCCATTCAATAAAGACAATGACATTGGCAGATAGATGAAATTATATTTTACATAAGAAAAATGAGATGGGAGAGGTTTACTCAATTACCCTGGTTAATAAGACCATTAGTAATGCAAAAACTGGAATTTAAAGCAAGGACCTTTGAATCTCATTCTAATATGTATATATATATATATCTTAAGAGTGTACAATACCTTTAACTAGAACAGTGCTCAGGTATCATATTAGAAATAGTAAAATATAACAACTCAATATATACATGAAAAAGATCATAGTGAGGATTTTGTAACCTGTTACATAAAAGCATCATTCTTAATCATTAGAAATTGGAAAGTACTTAAATATCAAATTTTGAGACAGTAATAAATTATAGGATATAGCCATATATGGGAATATTATGCAGTTATTAAAATCATATTTTTAAAGAATTAATTAGAAATGCCAATGGTAAAATAGTATGTAAAAAATAGAGATTATATAGCATAGTATCATCTCAGTTACATGATATAAATTTTACATAAGAGTACATCCTTAGAAATACATACATAGGAAAAAACTCTCAAAGGAAATATACAAAATATTAATAGTGGTTATCTTGGTAAGAGGAAAGAGATAACTATAACTTTTTATTTCAAAATTAACTTATGAATCCTATAAGAATATGAGTTGAAAATAAGTAGACTATAAATGAAGAAGACCAAATTGACCTTAGATCTTTGTGTGAAATATTCCATAAAACAAAAGATAAAATTATATGCACACAGCACTGTTGCAAGTAAAAGTTTGTCTATTAATTGTTTAAATTGGCTAAGTGGTTGGAAAAATTAACAATGAAATGACTCAGGTATGCATGGTCAAGAATATACCTCCAAATGAGACATCTGGAAAAATTTATCTGCTCATAATACAGAATACCAACAATTGAACAAGAAGTATAAATCAAAGAATGATGATCTTAAAAAGTAAATGGTAATAATACTTAAAACAAAAATGTGCAGACAGGTCCAACAATTCATGAGGAAATAGTTATGCAATTAATATAAGACAAAAATTTTTATATGGGTAACATTTATTTAAATGATAGTTTTTAATATTCTAAATTAATTAAGACCCATCAATGGATGGAAAGAGAAAAAAGACACTAAAACCCTTATACTTGTATTATTTTTTTCTAAATTTTCTACAATAGCATGTTACTTTCTTATCAGCAGGGATAGGTAAGTATTACATAACAATTAGTACACAAGGAAAATTTCCTCAAGTGAGAGAAAATAACAAAGTGTATGAAACTGCCTCCTGTTGTCTCCAGTTTGACCCCACCTGCTTTGTGTGCTGCCTAAGTCCCAATGACTAGTGCTAGCCTCCCAAATGTGTGCAACTCACTCACCAGCAAGATGCTCTCCCAGGACATCCAGCGGATGGGGAGCACCGCCCGGCCCTGGATCCGGTAGTAGTCACCGCTGTACAGATTTCTGCTCATTCCAAAGTCAGCTATCTTGATGGTGTAGTTCCTACCCACTAGGCAGTTCCGTGTGGCCAAATCTCGGTGGACAAAATTAAGAGAGGAAAGGTACTTCATGCCGGAGGCAATCTGAGTAGCCATAAACTTCAGGTTGGTGTAACTGAAGAAATATACAAGGAGAATATGTAAGCAAGGAGAAAGTAGCATATAGAAGAAACTGGAAGCCATGAAAGCCACACACATTTAAATCAACTAACCAGCGTTTAAACCTCAACATCCCCTTTAGTGTGTGTGTGTGTGTGTGTGACTGAGGATTGAACCCAAGGCTGGGCTGAGATACATCCCAGATCCTTTTTAATTTTTTTTCTGAGACACTATCTCCCTAAATCACAAAGTTGCCCAAACTGGGCTTGAACCTCTTGCCTCAGCCTTCTAGATTGCTGAGATTACAGGCCTGCACCACCATACCTGGCCCTTTCTGCACTCTTTATGAATGCCTTTGTGTTCCCCCAAAGTAATGATCCATTGTACACTGCACACTAACCTCCCCTAACATCCCAGAATAGCGATGAATTTTAAGGGCCACTGCTTCTCATGTTTGCAGCCTGGTTGCTCTCAAGACCTCAGGGCAGAGATAGAAGACCTGGCTGATTTTACCTGACAGTGGCTACATTGCTGGAGCAGGAACTGGGGGGCTCATGGCGCGAAAGAAACTGATTGAGATCTCCATTCTCCATGTACTCCGTGATCATGCAGAGAGGGTCCTCAGTGATACACACAGCTAAGAGACGGATGATGTTTGGGTCCTTCAGCCGGGACATGATCTTTATCTCCTTAAGGAAATCATTCCTTTGGAAGATACAGACAGAGATAAACCCAAAGGTTCCCAGAATCAGAATCAAAAAGGGGAAGAAAGCACTGCAACATCTATTCCTTCCCATTCCACATAGACTTGTTTGCTTACAGATGAACTTTGAGAGAACAGAGAAATCGGCACCTAGAAGTATTTCATTCTACTGCTCCTGGGACAGAATGGACCTTTATTCAAACTGCACTGTTTTGAGAATGAGACCAATATCAACTTTGGCATGTCTAGTATTTAACAAAATGCCTGCCACATGGAGATAGCTGATTATTATTATTATTATTATTTTTGTCTCTTTGAGACAGGGTCTCACTATGCAGTTCAGGCTGGCCTTGAGCTCATTTTGTAGGCCAGGATGGCCTTAAACTTGCAACGATCCTCCTGCCTCAACCTCCCAAGTGCTGGGATTGGTGCCAGGCGTGCACCACCACACCAGGCTAGATCATTAATTTTTAAATATTTGCTGAATCAAGTATATTTTTAAAACAACTCTGCAAACTGAAACTTTCACTGAAAATCATATTTTCAGTGCACTGGAGTATTTAACATTTTATAAGTTACAAACTCACAGAATCAGAATCAAAAAGGGGAAGAAAGGAATAATAAAACAAGGAATGTTAATAAAACAAGGAATGTTTTTATAATGGGGAGACCCACCCACTGATCTATACAATGATTCTTTATTCTCCCTCATGGTTTTTCCTAATGCAGACTGCATCAGTAGGCACAACATGCACTTAGTAGCCTGTTAAACTGAGTTGTTTAGGGTTGCAGTGGCAAGATGGGGTCATTTCTAAAGAAGTACTCATTGACCAAGACTAGAAATTATTAAAATATATGGTGACAGCCACTTTTCAGTCATCAAGTAGCAATGTTTGCATGAAGTCCATATTCCCAAAACTATTGAAGTAGATCAGTTGCAAGTGTCCCATCAGTTTTATAAGATTCCTACACTGAACATCATACTATGTCAGTATAACCCTTAGAATCAACTCAGTTCTTAGAATCAGTTCAACATCTCCCCTCTTTCATGTTCCCTTTAAGTCCAAATCAGGGGTTTTCATGGCTTGGGAGGCCCCACAGTCTGGGTCATCCATTGCTGCTGAGCAAGGGTAGGCACAGCTGAAGCATAGCAAACCCCACCAACCACAACAACATACAAAGGCTTTATCATATCCTGTGCTTTTTTTCTTTGCCAATTTTTCTACTTATGCGTTAAAACTAATATATAATCCTTTCTGTAGGATCCAGAAAATGTCATTTTCACTCACACTAATATCCTTAAGACTGAAATTCTAGGCTGTAATTTGAAAAAACCCATCGTTGCATTCCCTCACCTTTCTTTCCACTCCACTCTCTGTCATTTTCAAGACTTGTAATGAAACCCTATCACCGTTTTGGGAACTTAACAACACTTTGGGAACTAGAAATAATAAACTTACTCTCACTATGAACATCACTGAGACAAGACAATGCAAATGGAGAAATGCAGATGTTATCCAGATGTGCAGATTTCTCTGGGACACAAACAGCCAGCTTTCCACCAGCATGGCTTTTCAAGCCAGCTTTCAATCACCCCTCTCTGGGTAAGGACTAATTCACCATTACAGAAATGGAAAGGCTGTCAGACAGTGGACTGTGGCTGGACACTGCGATTTATGTAGCAAGGGATCCAAGAGGTAATAGCCAGTTTGGAAAACTGCTAAAGGACTGTGGATTTTTCTTGCTTTGAGGTCCATGGATACTTTTCCAAGTAGAGGTAGCTTTTCATTTGGGAGGTTGTGGAACAGAAGAAAAGGAGCATAAAAGAGAAAAACAAGACAAGAAAGTAAATAGAGATATGAGAAAAAAGAAGAACAGAAAGCTTTAACAGGAAAGATGTGTGTGATTGTGAAAAGTCTGCAAGAGGAGGCTATGACACTCGGAATACATCTATATGTAATGACTGAGGAATACACATGTGGATTGAAACATATAGGGCTGGGCAAAGGGAGTTAGGCAGTAAATACGTGGCAAACGTAATAGAAAATGTACATTTGAAAGGGGTATAGAAAAAATTGAGGACTTCTGACTTCATTAGGAAAATAAAGCATAAACATAGCAATGTGAAGCAGCTGCAGATCTCCCCATCTCAAGAGGGAAATATGCTTAGAAGTTTCGAGAAATATTCCTGATCTTAAAGATGAAAGAAATAAAGGGAAATTTAAAACGCAGACCACAGACCTGGCATTCTTGTTGGCATCTGCTCGGAGCATTTTCACGGCCACCAGGACAGGCTGGTTGGCACTGACATCTAGGGCAAAATCTTTGTCTTTGAATTTTTCCATCCCCTCCACTTCACAGAGATGAACCTAGACAAAAGTCATCTAGTCTCAGCATCATCATTTCTCCTGAAGGTGGCTCAGTACTCTTGCTGGGCATTTCCTGGAGATAAACTAACTCTTACAACTCAGGCAAAATAATCGAAAGACAATAATAAGATGTGTGCAACATATTTTGATTATTGATATAATTTAAGGCAATAATAAAGTACTCAGCTAATATGATGTTACTTCCTTATAAAAGAAATAGTAATGGTATTTCAGTATAGAACAGCCCCACAATGCCGTGTTATTCAGGATAAAGTTGTAAACACTTGATTGGAGAAAGAGTAGTTACCTGATAATACAAAACATAAAGCAATTTCCTAAAATAATCCCTAGGTGTGAGGTTTACAAAAAAAGAATTGTAAACGCTCCTATATGTTACATATAGTATAATGAGAATGAGTTTTCAACCCAGGAGACAGAATGAGTATAAGTAATGCTACAAGCAGATGTTATGGGCCCCTGTGCTTCCTCCAGCACCTGGCCTCCTCAGGGGAGAACCTTTGATTCACACTGAACACCTATGATATATTCACATGAAACCAAGTGTTATACTGTATTTGGGGTTTAGGTGGTTCATGCTGAAGAGCTCCTCTTACAACTGAAAACACTGCTTTGAGTTCACCAAAAGTCCATGTGACTGAAATGTTAATATTGCAGGCATCATCTGATGGCAATTTAGAGAGGACTCCTCCTTATCTTAGTTGGTGATTCATTCCCTAGTGGCTAATTCTGGGACCAGCCGCAGGGGCGAGGTTGTTTTTAACCAGTTTTCATATAACTTTCATTAAAAAGAAAAAAAAAAAACAAAGTCACTGTCAGGCATCAGGGTGTTCCGGGACAATTTATTAAAGATGATCACATCTTGTGAGCCCCACCCCCTGTAACATATTGTAGATATTTTTTGAAAGTATTGAATGTTTTTCAGACTCTCTCATGTCTAGTGATTTGCCTGCCTTAAAATCTCCTTGATAGAAGTCTCAGGCTTTCCACAGCTACTTAAGAGAGACAAGGATGACCTAACACTTGTCATCCAGAGGACAATACACAGAAAGATGAGCAGAGGAGACATTTGGCTGTGAATGAACTTGTAGAAGGGGAATGTGCTGTACTGACCATTTTTATCAACCCACTTCCTTCAAGCTACCATAGACTGGAGGCCACACAGAAAATCAACTCACCTCTCCAAACTGGCCTTCTCCCAGCTTCTCCTTGAACGTTAAAAGTTTCCTGGGGAACTCTTCCACAGCCACATCTTTTCCCGAGAGCAGGTCCATGGTGACAGCAGGCACTGAGTAGGTGTTGCCTCCAGTCACTCCCTGGAGGTTCACGATGTCAGCCTCAGCATAGTGGGGAACCCCCTCAGGTCCACTGGGCTGGACTGGCTTCACAACGCCACTGCAACCTGGAAGACAAGGGCCATAGGTCTCAATCCAAGGGGCATCTTTGTAGATCTTTTTAAGAAAGAAAACCTGAGAGGAGGACTAGAACTTGCCTCTACGACAACCTAACTTCTTCATGATGGTCTTCAGGAACAGTTTTACCTCCTGAGACTCTTTCCTTATTCTTGTCTCCTAATCATGATCATTAACAAGGTCCTTGTCTCATCCTGTGGAATTACAAGGCAAAGCTATAGCAAGCCTCATGCCCTATCAGGGTGAGAGTATTAAAGACAGAAGTTTTGTCAAATCATATTTTCTTACTTTTAATTTTTTTATTTTAAAGAAAAAAGATAAACATTGAAACAGGTTAATAGGACAGTTACAAAAGTTGATATATTGCATATTGTCTTCCTGTTAGTTAATCAGAGTACAATACACACTTCTCAGATGAAGAAATACAAATGGCAAGTAAATACATGAAAAAATGTTCAACATCAGTGGTCATTGGATGCAAATTAAAACAACCCTGAGATTCCATCTTATCCTAGCAAGAATGGCAATCATCAGAAAATCAACTGATAACAATTGCTGGAGGGGTTGTGGGGGAAAAGGAGCCCTTTCTTGTTATTAGAACACTGAATACTGTCACTGATTCAAAAGCAATTTAAATTTATACCCTCTTGTGTAAGACATATCTGAAATTCTTAGAAATTCAAAATATGGGGTGAAGGATATTCTAGACTTTAGAAATAGGTAAGTTACATCAGTTCAATCTAGAAAACAAGTCATATACTCATTAGTCTTGTTGACTCTGTGAAATCCTGTGAATTCAGTGTGTTCATTCAATGTTTTCTATCTATTCAGTGATAGAATAGATGTCAGTTCCTTTCTTCCTTCTAGAAGATTCCTTTCTGCTGGCTCCCTGGAAATCCTGTGATCTGTCATCCTCCACATCTGGCTCCACATCTGGCTTAACCTGGAATCTTCTCCTCTGAGCACCAAAGTGCCCTTCTACTGAAATGGGTCATTCTTAGGTTAATGACCTTCTGAAAAAGTTGCTCTGAGCTTCAGAGATGATCCCAGCATCCATTCTGATGTCACTCTGCACTTTTTAAGGGACACTGGGATTTGAATCATCTGGCAGTGTTTTACCTTACTCAATGCTTTTATTGAGAAAAGGCAAAAAATATTTATTCTCACAAGACAATTTTGTATTGCCTTAACAAATGTTTACCAAAGAGAAATTGATGAAAAATAAATTACTCAATTATCCAGATGGCTACAAAACTGAGAATTTCAGAATATCTTTAGATGCATGAATCTTTCCTTCTCCCTGTGAAACTCCAGTCCTGAATTGACCCATAGTGAAGTCAAGTGTTGGCTGAGGATTTAATCAGTGCTCTCTTACTTTTCTTCTATGTGAAATGAGCAAGTTAGACTCATTAGATTGCTTGAGTTTTTGTGGTGTGAACATGCTTGTAACCTTTAATCTTTTTGTTGATCTTCTGACATGTAGGTTCTTCCAAACATCTTATCTTCAATAGGAAAGGAGAGATCTCAGGTCTAGAAAGAGTATATACTTGGGTGTTGAGGCTTCTCCCTCAATCCCCTGCCTGTTACTTCATCCTCACCTGATTCCTCTTCCCCTGGAGCAAATTCTGGGAGTTTTCGTATCAATCTGGACGGCTCCTGGTAGTCAGGGCGAAGGGGAAAGATGCGATCATAAGTTGAGTTGGACTCCTGTTCACTAGGTGATGAGGAGCGGTTATTATTAAACATGCTGGACTCGCTTGGCAGGGAAAGGCTAACTGTCATCTCATCATCGAGCATCCTCCGGGAAGCCTGCAAGAGAGCAAGGAGAAGACTACATTGGTATAAAGAGGATCAGCAGTTCCTCCCCTTCTAAAACCCACCTCTTCTGTTCAGTTTTCTCCTGCTGAGCCTCAGAAACACTGTAAGTGACAGGGATGCAGTCTGACTCCACAAATACTTGTGTTGTAGAAACTCAGAAACTCCTCTGTTTCTTCAAGGCAGAATTTGACTCCCTTATTTCTGTGTTGTTAACTTTCATTAAACACTTATAAGCATTATTTATATAATCCTATGGGAATCAGTCAGTAAGCAAAAATATTATGGATCTTTTATTAAATAATGGGTTTTGCTGACTTACCCTTTAACTGCTTTGATTTTGGGTCAACATAATATAAAATATTCAAACTCAATAACAGTGCTGTTACACGATGAATTAGTAGTTGACCCGATCACCCTGAGACTGTAAATTAGGATAACGATCCTCCACTGGTCCTAGATTTTTGTGAACCAAAAATATAATGGCTACAAAATGGGACAAGAAAGTCTTACCATTGGAAAATATCAAGTCAAATTATATCTATTATAGGAAGAAGACACAAGGGGCTAATTCCTGTGGCATACCATCTTAGATCACCTGCCGGTTCTAGACAAAAAAAATTCTATCATCTGAATGTACATAGCTATTTAGATTTAAACACGTAAAATTCTCCACTCCAGTAAACATACTTTGGGTGCTTAATGGAGAAGCATAGAGAAACGTAGATGTTTACTTCCCCCACCAGACTAAAAGGTCCTTTCTTGCATTAAAAGCCCCAGTATTACCAAGAAGCCCAACATGTAGTAGGTATTTAATAAATTTGGGTTGAGTTTCTCAAAGGATCAGTGCTGAAGATGCCATCAAAAGTATCCTAAAAATAATACTACAGACTACAGCATATGTTAAGAAAAGTCCTTGGAATTCACCAGTGGTTGATTTCAAGAACCTTTCTAACATTGTTTTTGCTTTGTTTTATTTTTGTCTATGTTGTTGGTATTTTGCTATTGTTCTTTTTTATTATTGTTTCTAAAAAGAAAAAAGAAAGGTCTTTGGGATATACATGTGTGCTGAAAAGTTTTACACACACACACACACACACACACACACACACACTCAAACACACTTCTATTGCCAGGAAGAAATCCTGAGTGTCAGTCCAACACATTTTGAGTTATCTTCCTGGGACCTATAAGGTTAGGAAGAATTTCTTGAAAAATGAAGTTAAATATTCAAGGGCAGAATGTTTGCTCTCCTTTTTGTCTGAGGAAAGGTCCTGATATCCCCTCACTGATGTCTTGACACAGTCATGCCAGTGGACCAGCACTCTGTGAATTCTGCCTTTCAATCTTCACACGCTGTTTATGGACTTACAGCTTTGTTTTAAGTAAGATGTCTTCAGATCAATAGTAAAGGTTCTTCTGGGAAGCAAGGGGATACTTTTGTTGTGAATATTCCTGTCTAAACACTTTAAACCTCAATCATCTCAAAAACTTGACTGTGGAACTGGTCAGAAGGAATTGTAGGCTACTGTCTCGGTGCTCCTCTCACTTGTTGGAGGTGAGCCTCTTTTCTCTTGTCTACATTCAGAGAGTTCTGGAGACTTGAGTCCATCTGCGTGGTCCCCTTGCCCCTCCTCTGGAGTATACTCCATGCAGGCTTTGCTCTTCTCTGAGAGACCCATGAACACAGAGATCATCCAGGCAGTGCCCCTCTTCTTGCTCTATACCCTCTATAGGCAGTTCAAAACTTCAAAGCCCAGAGTGTCCAGGACCTCCCTCAGCCCATGTCCCTCCAGAGGAGCCCGTTGCATAGGGAAGGTGTGTATGGCCTAAGGTGGAACTGTCACAGACAGTGGATCCAAGAGTACCTGGCATTTGGTAACAGTGCCCCTGAAGTTGTTATCTGGCCTAAAAAGCCAAAACAAGTAGTATATATTCTACTCTCAGTAAAAATTATACATTTTGGGAGAAAGATGTTAACATATTCCTGTATTTACAAATGGAAAGCACATAGAACACAGAGTACTAGTTGTATGACCTTGAACACATCACAATTTCTCATCAGAAAAACAATTTAATACTGCTATGTCCATCTCACTGTTACTCAGAGGTTAATATAAAATAATACATGAGAAAAAGTCTTTGAAGATTAGGTAAGTAAAACAAAATTATCCCGATCATTTGATCTAGAAAGAAAGAAATACTCAGAAGAATACACAATTATAACCTTCAAATACACAAAGAAATGAGGATAGAATTATGAAGAAATTGACTTGGATATTAATGAGGTTGAACTCCCGCTCACTCTCTTTCTCTCTCTTTCTATCTCTCTCTTGCTCTCTCTCTTTCCCTTCTCCCCAAAACAAGCAAAATAACAGAAAAAAATAGAAAGAACTTCAGTAGTATTATCAGATGCTTTAACTAGGCATTCGACAGATTATCAACCTTGAATGTGCATGAGAATTACTCCTTAAATGAAAATATACAGATACCTGCACTCTACCCTAAAATCCAGTGAAACAGAAACTTCATGGTTGGGGCTGGGGATTTAGCTCAGCGGCAAAAGCGCCTGCCTGGCAAGAGCAAGGTCGTGAGTTCGGTTCCCGGTACCGGAGAAAAACCAAAAAAAA